AGCCATCGGGAAATCATGACATAATTGACTTCCATGTTTTTCTGATGCCTCTGTGGTTGGATTTGTAGCAGCCGTCTACATCAGAACCAACTTAAGGGATGATATAGATGTTTGCTCAAGAATGGGTAAATCTAGAGTTGCACCTTTACAGACGACTTCGATTCCGAGATTAGAACTTACTGCAGCCTTGCTGGCTGCGCAGTTTTTCACAACGGTGCGTAAAGAGTTGGATTACCCCAGGTATCCTGTATCGTTTTAAACTGATTCGATGTCTGTGATATATTATATACGCAACGAGTCAGCAAGATATGCATGTTTTGTAGCTATAGAGTATCTCAAATTCGTGAACTAACAACCGTCGAGCAGTGGAAGTTCTTACCGTCTAGAAAAAACCCAGCTGATCTAGCCTCGCGAGGAGTTATTGATATGAATGTGGTTAAAAATAAGTGGTGGAAAGGTCCAGAGTTCTTGCTAAGGGCTGATAGTATGTGGCCTCGTAGAGAACCACCGATAAACGAGTGTGCCTTGGAGTTGAAGACAAGTGTCAGTTTACCATCTACTCAAGAAAAATATTCAGGTTTACATCCACTTTTTAAATATTCTTCTTCTTGGTACAAACTACTGAAAGCGGTTGCGTGGTTGACACGATATGTTACGTATTTAAAGGTAATGCATCTTGCGGGATACGAAAATCTGAATGTGGGGCCTTTGAGAGTCGAAGATATTAGAAATGCAGAGTTAGCGATTTTGAGGGCTGCTCAGTGGGAAGCGTGGGGTGAGATTGCCAAGGAGGATAGTCCTGATTTCGCAGATTTCAAGGTGCGGTTAGATAGATTATCTCCGATAGTTTCCGAAGGGATCGCTAGAGTTGGTGGACGTCTACAAATGTTAGAATCGTCATATGAGACCCGTCATCCGGCTTTATTACCTTGCTACCATCCAGTCACTGATCTCATTATAAGACACTACCATGTTCTTGAAGGTCATTTGGGTACTTCGCAAGTACTATCAAGTATTCGATGTAAGTTCTGGATAGTGAAGGGAGGCACTGCTGTCCGTAAAATAATTGATAAGCGCATGGAATGTAAACTCCGAAATGCTCGTCCAGTACAGCAGATGATGGCACCACTCCCAGCGTGGCAGGCTTCTGAAGGGAATTATCCATTTGAGTACGTTGGGGTGGATTTGTTCGGACCTTTTGTAGGGAAGAGAGGCAGAACCCTATGTAAAAGATATGGCTGCTTATTCACCTGTTTGAAAATGAGAGCTGTGCATATTGAGATGGTTCATACGTTAACTACTGATTCATTCGTGCTAGCATTACATAGATTTATAAATCGCCGGGGTGTACCGAAGATGATGTTCAGCGACAGAGGGACTAATTTTGTTGGCTGTCACGCCGAGCTTAAAGAGTATTTTGAAGGTCCTCAAACGAAAGTTCAGGAAGAGTTACTGAAAAGGAACATCAAGTGGCACTTCAACCCACCACATGCCAGCCATAGAGGTGGGCTATGGGAAAGACTTATAGGAATTATCAAGCGTATTTTAAGCTCCATAATTAAAAACCAGAGTTTGAATGACGAAACGCTGGAGACATTTTTTGTGAAGCTGAACGAATATTAAATGACCGTCCGCTATTACCTGTGAGGCACAACGTCAAGGATTTCGGTGTGTTAACTCCAAATCAATTACTGTTATTGAGAGGTAACCCTGGCATAGGGGACTTGAGCGCGGAACGAATACCCACTATTAAAAGATGGAAACAAGCCAGGCACATGAAAGATATATTTTGGAAAAGATGGTTAAAGGAGTATGTTCTAACACTGCAAACCAGAGACAAGTGGAAAAAGTTGTGCCGAAACTTGAAGGTAGGTGATATAATCTTGGTAGCAGGTAAGTGTACCATAGGTAGATGGCCTTTGGGAGTGGTAGAAAGGCTATTCTGTAGGTGTGATGGGTTGATGAGGACGGTCGAGGTGAGAACCAGTTGTGGCATGTCGGTGCGAGATATTAGGAAACTGTGTCTACTGGAAGATTCTGAGAGTCGAGAGTCAGAAGATGGACCACCTAACGATTTTCCAACCTAGGGCGTCAGCTGAGAAGGGTTGCAGGCGTACTGGTGTAGGTCCTGCTATTCTTCAAAGGAATTCCATCAAGACATGGTTCGCGAGGTTATGTGTGCTGTTTGTATATATGTGTGGTGTGTCAGATCAATTGGTGTTTATGGATTCATTGTGTTTACTCTTTGTTTTCGTACCTTGTTGTTATTGCATAATTTTGTTAAGATTTTCGTCGTAATTACTTCTGAAGTTGTTTCGAGTCTTCTACATTCGTGAATGAATTGATTGATGTTAGAGACAGCAGATGGGTCGTATACGCCGGGGAGGCTATTCCTGAGAATGATATGCATACGGAGATAATGATTAGCTGTGATCCCACACGCCGGGGAGCGGGAGTGTAGACAGCTGAGGCTTGCGTACGTCACCGTTACTAGAACTGAGGCAGAATGAGTGACAAGCGATTGCAGTGGTAATTGGTGGTGAGTAGATAAGAGGATGTGCGTGGAGTATCATGAGGTGGTGCTATGGTCACGTCACTTTCTGCAAGAGTCATTCTAGTAAGTGGCGATTGTGTTGGAAGATGTCAAGAGGATACCTTTAACTGGAAGGCGGAGGTCGTCATTGATGTGTGAGATTGTGCTGTGGGTATGCTTGTGGTGTGTTGGCTTTTCTGTTTGTTTTCCATTTCAGCTCTGTCCTTGCGGCCCAGGTTCTCGCACTGAAATCCAGGTCAACGTGTATTGGTCGAGATGCAAAAAGGAGAAGTGTCAAGGATTTTTTAGGCGTACTGCTGTAAGTCCTACAGTTCTTCAAGGGTTGCTCGTCAAGGCAGAATCCACAACATTTGATGTGTCGATTGTACTTATATTTGCGTTGAGTAATTGATTGGGTTCCGATTCATTTAATTGTTGGTTTATTTTATAGTTTTCGCATTGTGTGAGTCATCTTGTAATGTTATTGTGAGTCCTTCCTAAGTCGATTCTAGTCTTCTAAACATGTGAACGAATCGGATAGTGTTAGAGCCAGTTTATTAGATTTGATACGCCGGGGAGGGGATTGTGTCAGAGTGATATGAAGCAACCAACACCCCGTGTACCAGATCAGTGGTGGCACTGTCAGCGGAGAGCGAAGGAATGTTCTGATCACTGAGGTAGATCCCACACGCCGGGAAGAACGTACTGCTGTAATATGGTATGCTTGTTATGTGTTGGGCTTTTTTGGTCTTGCCTTTCCATTTTCGACTAGACTCGGTTGGCCCGGGATCCCGCTTTGGCAGATCGGTTCAAGGTTATCGGCGCTATGGAAAAAAGGGGTGGACCCTATTTTGCCGGGGAGTGTCAATGGAAGCGAACATCAAACGTTGGTTCATTGGCCTTGGTCGCCATTTGTGGGCAATTCGAAGCCGCGAATGATTCAGTCGTTCACAGGTTAGAAGAAGACGAAAGAAAACGAATAAAATCTTCTATTATTCTCCACTTTAATTGCCAAACAATATATCTTCTTTCTTACAATACTGGTGTTTTGGAGTTAAAGCCAAAGAAAGTACATAGCATTTATTGGTTTGGAGAGTCTTCGTAACAGTAGGAAATTAGGTTTAAGTTCCTTGACAGTTGGCGTACCGGGCTGAGTATGTGACGACCTTATGGATATGAGAATATTGGTGCAAAGGGGATCCAAATATGAGACCACAAACAAAATCGCAGTGAATATACAAAATGTTAAAAATAAGTATATGTTTACGTGAAAATAATCTGTTCAAAGCGGGCTCAACAATTTATTTGTAGGGGACTGTCAAGGGAGCTCATTAACATTACAAATATTCGAATAAAAATCCAGGTCAATGAGATGATAGAGTAACAATATATTATGAAAAAATGCAGTAATGAGTTATATTAATGAAAAGGTTACTTGGATATATTAAAGTCCACTGCTACAAATTATTAATATAATCCACGGGGGAGTTCACTGTCGGAATTGCGTCAGCTGGTAGATGCTGTGGACAGGTTGTAGAGTTGTCTTCGGATAAGGATAATAGACTCCTGCAATGAATCCAAAGTATACAACACGGTATGAGTGGAGCAAGTAAGCGGTAATGGCCAGACAGAAGACGAAGCTTCCAACAGTATAGTGTATGTCGAATTGTACATGGAAGTTATATATGTTTAAACACGAATCGATTTAAACAAAATTCATGTACAATATCTCTAATTTCAACAACTAACAAAAAGCGTACAATCATATTGTTATGTACTCGACAAGAACAAGGGAGGGAACAATAGTGGAATCGGTAAGATTAGTAGATATATTCCATGAGATATTTGAAGAATTATAGAACTTCCGATTCATCTTTCACAGCTTGTCTTCTTCAAAATGCAAATATTACAAAACAGCCTCTCCTTTCCATCCGTTACAATCAACTGGGAAAGACTAAGTCCTCAAAATTTATACCTCTTTTATTAAGTTACCCAATAATGCTCTTTTTAATAATGGGTCCACATGCATATCACATCTGTAAAATTTATACATATGATAACTTGTCCCCTTTGGCTGAAAAGTGTAATGTTTACGCGATTTTTATTATTATCATTTCAAAGCCCGCCTCAGTAACGTGTGCTACATACTAGCCACAGCGTTTACTCAAAGTAAAATCTACTAGTCACAATATGCATACGTGATCTTGAAGTGCTCAGCCTCTCCGTAAGCCGTGTGTGCCACTATCCATTGCCTTTTAATGCATTTCACAACAAAAGCTGCGTTGTAAAGCTAGCATTTCAAGGTCACTCCATTACGAAATTTACCATATTTTATTACTACACAATAACACTTTGCCTATAGCTTTCGTTCGCCCGTACTGACATTGAAAATTATTTATTGAAAGTATGTTTGTTAGAACTCTTCAATCTTGTTAGGAAGTACAGATTGCTGAGGTTACCGCGGTTCACACGAAAATTCAAGATGCCGTCAATAAAACTTGCCAGCTCTGATGGGGAGGTGTTTGATATTGATGTTGCCATCGCAAAGCAGTCTGTCACCATCAAAACCATGTTGGACGGTAAGCATTTGCTTGTATATTGCTATTTCGGGCGTGTTGTCCAGTCACCGTTAGCTATATCCTCCAGTGAGCTGTTATTTAGAAGAGGCATCGGGCAACTTAGAACGCACATGCGGATGCCTGACTGAATTGCTCGAAGCTGACAGGAAGACCTACTACACCCTTATTTTTTTTTCCCCAGAGTGCTTAACATTTAGCCTACACACTGCATGTTCTCTTAGTTTTGCCCACTTTTACCACTGCGCTGTGTTTGTGCACAAGTTTTATAAATTGCACCTCAAGTTTTGATAGAAGTATCATCATTGTACCAAAAATTCTGGCCAGAATTCCTCAGCTAGCATACCATGATAACTAAATGCTAAGTTATTAGCACTAGAATCGGGTTTAAGACTTATCTACTGAATGTACACTTAGTTCCGAAGGCAGGAATTCACAGTAACACCTTTAGTGTTTCTCATTTAGAATTCAGTTAATCGGGATAGATTTCCAGAGTGCAAGGATATGATCTACACTTTATATGTCTAGCAATACTACCTAGTTGTTTGGGTTGAGGTTGGTGAGGCTAAATGCAAACTAAAAACTTATTGATAGTTGGATGAATGATAGTTAGTGAGCCACAGTTTCGCTTGAAAGAAAAGCAAAAAAATCATTCGAGGACCAGACTGTATATTAAATTTAACCTCAGGAAAACCAAATCAGCTTTTTATGCTTCGCTCCACAGTTATTTTTAGTAACCTTCAGGTACTGTGGTATTATCGATTAGTGTTGACAGTAAAATTCATGACACGAAAGTTTTATGTTCTGTTATGTACTGTCGACAACAGGCATACACCTTGTGTAAGCATACTCATTTCGCCCTCAGTCTACATTTTTTGGATCACGAAATGTTACTCAATGAAGAGTTTATACATGCTCTTAATTTCTACTCGGTGAGAGAAAATAGCTCGCATGGTGTACAGAAACCCATTAAAATGATCGACATCTAATGTAGACTGAACAAGCTCATGACATTTCTCTGTTGGAAGGCTTCATGGCACTTAGTGACGGTAACTGTGAAACTATTGCTTAATGATGGTAATTATCTTCCCAGTTGTGTTTTCTACATCATCAGTGCTATGTTTGTGGAAACCGTACGCAGCACTTAAAAACTATGGAGAATAATATTAACTTAGGAGTAACAAAGTTGGACGTGAGGCTATCTTTGAATGGCCTCTATTTACGTGTGAATGGCCGTGGGAGCGGATTGCCATAAATTCTAGCTGACAAAACATTTGTGGCCTCTGGCAGCATTCTGATGGATATTGCTGCCCAAGCTTCCCATTTCCCCTCAAGTTTGCCATCTATGACATACTAGAGGAAAGTGTGAAGGCTGTGGTGGTGTGGGCCTCCTGTATGGAGAGGCTGTGAAGGCGCAGACAATATCATCTCAGTTTATTATGCACAGAATCAGTTGGCGGTCGGTGTGGTATTTCCTCCGTCTAAGTGTGGAGTATTATTGCATGTTCAGCAAGGGTCTGTATCTACACTCACCTTCGCCGCCTCTAATAACGTCTACCCTTTCGTTAGAAGTCATGTTTATGTTTCGATGCGCGTAGTGTTTCTCTAGCTTCGTGAAACCTGACCTCCGGACTGAGGTTGTGCAGCGAATCTGCGTAATCGGTCACTGCTTCCGTAAAATTGCTTGCGCCCAGTGTAATCATCATGCAGGTAATTCCAAGGTACGGCGGTGTTTGTATACGGTAGGGTTGTCATCCTGGAACACCGACATCGGTGGCTCGAACATGTGCTACCAGTGTCACCCCAGGGTTACTCATGCTGTCCACTGTTTGCTAGTCCGGACTAAACAATACAAGAGGAAGAGCAGTCAGCCCATGACGTGGCGCCGTAGGATGAAGGGTATTTGCGTTAAGTTAGCATATGTTGGTGCATCACGACTCCCAGAAAGTAATTGAAATCAGTGACTTGAGACGTTATAAATGTTGAACGTTCTCTGATTCCTTCCTCTTTTTGAAAGTAACATGAAGTAACAAATCATCCATTTAACACTTTTGGGAATTATGCTAAGTTGTTTTCTTCATGCTATCGCTCATTTACTCTATTTTTATTTTCCTCACATTACTGTTTTATTATGTTTCATATGGTGCATTTCTTGTTGTTCATATTGCATCAAGTTTGTGTCATACCACGACCATGGACCATTCTTTGTTCTGAATCCGCTACCTACCTATATATTGTATTTCTATCCATTAGGTTGGACAGGAATGATATTGTAACATTTCTCACATGATTACATAGGTTCAATTCACCGTAATTTCCAGTTAACCGTTGAATTTTAGACTGCTTTTACTTGCCAGGTTAGCACGTAATTCCTTGTGATTACATATATATCCCAAATACATGACTATTGTGTCCCATAATGTTTAAATTTAGTCGTCTAACGAAGTGTAACCAATGAAGTATTTAGCTGAAAGTACCATTGGTTATACGTTAATCAGTGTTTTTCTTAATTCCAATGCTTGTAGCTGCTTAGATTGTTAACTGTGTAAATTCACATAGTTTTTAATCGTAAAGGCAACTTGAATTGTAAATGTTGTTCGGGATTTTTCAAATAATAATTTATCACTTGTAGACTTGGGAATAGAAGATCAGGGAGATGAAGAACCGGTCCCCCTACCTAATGTTAATGCTGGAATTCTGCGGAAAGTTATTCAGTGGTGTACCTACCACAAGGATGATCCACTGCCACAGGAAGACGACGAAAACAAAGAACGACGTACAGATGATATTCCTAGCTGGGATCAAGAGTTTCTTCGTGTTGATCAAGGGACGTTATTTGAACTCATGCTAGCGGCCAATTATTTGGATATTAGGGGACTCCTCGATGTATGCTGCAAAACTGTTGCTAATATGATTAAAGGAAAAACGCCAGAAGAAATACGTAAAACTTTCAATATCAAGTGTGACTTTACACCTCAAGAGGAAGAACAGGTGAGTATTTGTTTATAGGCTTCAGTTAGAAATATGCAGTGAAACTTCGTTGATAAAGCCTGCTGTTTTGACTAAGTCTCATATCAGGTTTTGTTTGTAAACCCAACTTTTTTTCTGGATACCGGAAAGTGTGAATTTGAGTTGTATGAATTAACATGCCTATGGATTTCGTAACCCTCAAAGTAGATGCTAACAACGCAGTCTTGGCTGTTTTTAAAATAGAGATGGCTTATCTTAAGACTTGATGTCTTCTATGAAGTACAAAGACAACGTTAATATAATAGTGATAAATACCAAGCAATTGTCGTTCAGACAATGATAAGAACATATTAACATGTGAAATAAAGTGTATAATGTTAGTCGTTTGCATATGTGTGTGTATGTACACCGGCCTAACTGTTTCGTCGTAATTTACCACGTCTTGTTCAACGTTAGATTGTCAACATATTACTTTTAATTTTCCTGGACAATTCCGTCGGTCCTCTTTGTGCGAATAAATGAAGAACAACCATCTTGAGACTGTCTAAGGTAGCTGTGGATTGAAAGATTATTTGTGTAATAGGTGATGACTAGAGGTATAATTAAAACTTGGCTCGTGGCAGGATTGAAATCAACATCTCTTGGATTACTAGCCGGCTGGTACACCACTTAAGCTCTGTATGTGACCAACTGCCAACCAGGTCATAACTTCACTACATCCAGTATGGGTAATGTCCAACTGTCAGGAATAAACGACACATCACTGTCTGTTTATCGCCACATTGGTTAACCATCTAGATCTCTCAATCTTAATGAATTTAAAGGAGAGAAGGCCTTGTAGTTTATTTAGAGGAACACCGGGCTAGTAACCTTGGTGTCACCGGTGCAAATCTTATGGCAATGAAAGTCTTCATTTCACCTTCAGTCATCATCCATTACATAGATAAAAACATAGAAATGGTAGTTTGTTACAAACTGGCTGATTGGTGAGTCAATGTAGAGCATTGTCCAAAAGTGTCACCTTGCTGTTTATAAAAAAGCGAACATGTAGGTCATGGTACTACCATCGACAGATATGGGAACATCATAGAACCCACAGAACCTCTTCCTGGATCATGATTACGCACAGTAAATACATCTATGCCATTCTGAAGTACTTTAAGTCATGGCATAAACAGTCTCCAACCATTGATTCTTAGTACTCTTAGGATGCTAGCCGAAGAGTCTATCGTTCACCAGAAACAGCGAATGGCTTCACGAATTTACGTCTTACAGCCGTGAATTCGGGCAAAACAGGCTGTTAAACGGTACACGTGCCCTTCAATAGGTAGCTGGATGTCACGCCTTTGCCAACAATGACTGACGCCGGCAGTTTTCAAACTAGTTTGTGACCAAGTGGTTTCACTGGATTTCTGTGACTTCTCTGCAACTTGATGATGGCGGATAATGGGCACAGTAATCTGCCGAAGCTCTTAAGCATAAAATCAAACAATAGATAATTAAGGATCACGGAGACTTGTTCAGGATGTCCTTGGAAAGCAGCAGTTACAAATTGTAGCCGAATTTAATGAAAACAATCGACAACTGTTACAAATTATCTGGACCTCCAATGACAGACAGCCTAGTGCCAGTAAGTTGGTTAGTATGTCAATCAAGGACCTATAAAAGCGCCTGGAACTCTGGACGAAACACTTTAAATAGTAGCTGGGTAGCATACGGTGTCAGGTTTTCTTATTCTAGAGCACCATCTAAGAGTAGTGTTCGCAATCTCCAAGTACTCAAGGGTCGTAAGACACAAAGTCAAGATAACCTACTTCCAGCTCTTCCAAACGATGTAGGCCATTTCCTAGCCACTTAATATGTGTAGATTATTTGAGGTATGATCGATTGGATGTCTCACCACTTTGGAATAAGACCGTTCTGTATATCTTTGAAAATGTGGCAGTCGTCGTGTTATTCTGTTACCAATTGCTTCAGAAATGGTGGTTGTGCTTTACAGATTTAAAACGCATGAGAGTCGAATTCTCAAAGAGCAGGCCAAGCTTCGTTTAGGTTATGGATGTAAAAATCATGGTGTACAACCATCCATTTCTGCTATTCTCAACTAACAATAAGACTCAGTCTATTGTCTCATATTTTGATATCACACTAATCTTGCTTGTTATTAAAAAAAGTAGCAAAACTGTGGATAACTGGACTACATTACTCATTACATAGTAGGGCATACCTCACCGGAGTCTACGGTTTGCCGTAAGTAGGTAACTAAAGCTTATTATGTGCAATTAACATACTTTACTATGAATAAATTAGTTGATTTATATCTTTTAGCAAGCAATCGTATATATGTACTGAACTGAACTCGATACGTAAAGTGTAAGTGGAGAATGACTACAGCCTCTTAACACAGGAAAAGTTGGACCTATTATTCCGTGCATCTTATATCTATGATTCCCAGATAAATACTTGGAGGTAACGAAAATCCTGTGTTGTAAAAATGTGAATAAAAACTGCTTTTTTAGTCAACTCACCTGTTTTGTCATTTCTAAGTTTCAAACTGTTGCATATATCCTATGGAAAATATAAAAGCAGTTAATTGGGATAAGGGATAGAGTAATATTGACGTCATTAGGCATTTTGATGTTTCACATTCTGTGATACAACATTTCAACAGTACATCTTCACTACTACCGTGCCATACTCTCCGAAGAATGAGTTCGAGGGTATCCGAATACATTCAGGGCCTAATCTGACTTAGTATTCCTTGTAAAAAATCAATTGCATAGTATTAACCTTTGAGCTTCGTCTCGAGTAAAGCGTTTTTAGGCTTTAAGGTAGATGAAACATTATTATCTGGTGGTTTTCGAAATCTCAGAATGGTAAAGTAACTCACGTTTAGTGATATAAGTTAAGAATCACTCACTGTATGAGCAACTGTGCCTTTATAGACGGTAACATTATAGTTTCTTCGCCCGAACATCATTCAGTTTTATCATTAGCAGATTTAGAGTCAAGTCACCTAGGCTAATGAACGATGACATTCGGGAAGTTTATAATTTTCTTGTAAGCCAGTATTTTCCGGAATACCTTTTACTTCACTAATTACTTGTTAAAGTTATTTGTAAACTGTTCCGTGTGTATTTTCTAATTTTCTCGTTAGGTCAAGAAGGAAAATGAATGGTGTGAAGAAAAATAAACCGAGAAATATTTGTTTCTATATCTCAACTTTGCCACGTATAAACAGTGTTTTATGAATTTATATTGGTGAAGAAAAAAAGTAGTTATTTTACCACTATTTAGACAGACAGACAGACGGCGGGAATTCATTTTCGTTATTCCCTTCAATCCTTGTAAATCGTAAACCACACTTTTCATCTGCATACATCCATTATTTGTTCATTAGATTTACACTTATACCACTTCATTTTATTAATTGCTTCTATATCATTTCTCGTTTTTAAATAATGTTTTGCATCCTGTGAACAAATCAAATGTTATAAACACCGTAATGCGATGTATATTTTAAATGGAAGGAGCAGTTATATCTTTAAAAAAAAATAGAAATCGTTGTATGTAAACAGTATCAAACTTAGCCTGCTTCAGAAAATACTTCGTTATCAGATAACAGAGCATACGCCTTTATCCTTTGATTTCTTCGAACTGTAGTAGTTCACCGGTTGATTCTGTGATAAGATGACTTTGAAAGTTTGATTGCACTGGCGGAAACAACGGTACTGCCCGTTGTGGATGGCGGTTTCAAGTATCGTAAGTGTTTAACATAGGAAGTAGTGCGCTTAAATTTACTGGTGAATGAAAATGAGCCGAATTTGACCAAATAAATATACGTTTTAACCATCGTTCTGGCAGTCACTGATGTATTAATTTCAAATAATTTATGCAGAATTTGGTCAAGATTTGACCAATCAGGCGCACAAACGTTTGTGGATGAGTGGTAGGTAGACAAAACAAAAGTGCATATTTGTACAAATCTCAGTGATAAAGTAATTCCAATGTTTCGGCGGAGAAAAGTTAAATTGCCGAATCGAAGGTCAATTCTTGCATTTAGAACTCCTATCTAATCATGTCTAGGTCACAAACGCTTATCAAGACAGAATTGTTTTTAGACTTTTTGTTATACATTAAAGATAGTGTGTTTAGATCTAGACTTTTTACTGTGCATTAGAATGAAGGTTATGGTGATATGAAAGGTAGTGAAAGGATCCGTACTTTAAAAAAATTGTGATATAAAATATTATATTTAGGGGAGAAATAGGTCTGCTCTCCATCTTCTTTTCCCTCTGAGCCAGGGAAACACTGCTCCACACCTCTTAAAGTCATGCTGACAATTTCATATTGGAAAATTCAGCGTCAAGAGCTACCCCATATCTAGCAACAGGCCTCGGTAGTCAGAACTCCAGCATCTAGAGCCACAGAAGTGTTTTGTATTTCAGAGACACATATACAGGATCCAAGTATGGTTATTCACTTAACCCCACTTGATGTACCTACAAAATCCACCCTACCCGTATCTGGTACTTCGCGTCGAATTGCTGATGTAGCATTGTGATTGAGCGCTGGGGCAGAAAATTCACCAATTGAGTGGGTCTCCGTATACAGTCATCTGTGTGTTGTCCAGCTGAATGGATCCATGAAAAGGAGAGATTGTGAAACCCAACAATGTCTTTTCATTATAACAGACTGCAGTTAGGACAAAGTCAAAAGCTGTCTAATCATCTGCTAAGATCAAAATACTCTGACAAACACTTAAGCAGATGACTCCAATGCTCATATAGGCAAAGTTATACCAGCATCAGAAAAGTATATTGGTAGGGAAGATATAACCAAACGCTTATCTGAGGCTGACAGTAGTACCCATCATGAGGAAGCCAGTTATAGAAAAAGCGGTAAAGGCTTATGATAACCTAAAACCAAATGTTATTGAGCACCCGTGCATTTCTGACATTCGCAAGAAGATTGACTCTGGTGAGGTCCGAACATGACGAGGAGCGAAAGCTCCTCAAATGTAAGCAGACTGAAAGTGACTGTGAGGTGGCAGACATAAGCAAAAGAGATGGAAAAGGCGCCAGTGGATTGGAAATAGTCTAAGACAAAAGGTTGTAGAGCTGGTAAAGTGGTAGCAAAAAAAGTTCCTTTCACTCAGAACGAATAACAATTTTTAGACTCATTAAGTTAACGGCCCTAAAGGTGGTGTTGAAGGACTGGACCGCACCGATTCCCAGCTTAACGAAACAGAGTAAAGTGATAGTACGTTTTGACCACTTCACTTATTTAAACTGTATCAGCCCTAATAAACTGATTACTGATGAAATCCCAGCGTGCATACAGAAAACTCGTGTGACATTTGCTAACTTACGCCATCTCTGGCACAGAAGTGGATTCTAGCTGTCGACTAGAGGATGTGTGTACTGTGCAACAGTTCGCTCCTACCTTCGTTACGACTGATACATACACGTTAAGTAGAGGGGAATGCATGAAGAAGAGGCTAGTTGTCTTTGACCATAAGTGTTTGAGTTTGACCTCCCATGTTAAGTGGTATTGTATGACTTATATTGACGTTAGGCGGAGTGTTAGGTAGGAGGAGAAAATCGATTGATGAGCTTGTGAAAGTTTTTCGACGAAGATAGCTAGGACACATGTTAAGCGCTACAAGCTATCGCCTTCGTCGACCAATGTTAGCTGACATTTAATTAGACTGGAAAAGAGTTTAGGGGTGTTCAAACCAAAATTTGACATCAATCCATGAAGTCTTTGACTGAATCTTGATTTTCACTCACTGAGTTGAATTCACTACTAATGGTAAGCTTTTGCATACGGAAAAAATTACGGTTATCAGGGTAATGAGAGATTAGTTACACTCTCTTTCTGTATGCATAGGTTGGGTGGAATTCTTTCATCGGCAATAGCCTCTGCGAACTGAAGTAACTAAGCTTTTCTTTGTGTATTGGTTATTTTGAAGGCCTGACTAATTTCCACTGTATGTCCCGTGTTAATTAGGTGTCTGTCCTCGTCGAATCAAGTAGACGCTCTCCTCTCAGTCCTTTCTATGTTCTTGCTATCGCAAGTGAATTGGTAAATGCAGTTGAAGTTGACATGAGTAGGATACGTATCTACTTTTGACTGAGTTAATGAGCATACGGCGTCAAAACCATCCACATGAGCTACAAATCTTCTCCATCATATCTATACTGTGTTGTAAAATGGAATAAGTCTAGCGGTGGGAAACTTTCTTTTCAATGCACCTTTAATTCTGTTTTCCGTTCTTATGAATACTTCGCCCTTGCAGGCTAAACAGATAAAAACGGGTTTCTTTTCAACTATTTCGGTCTAGGTTTAATTTTCAGTCACTAAGTTGAACTCACTATTAAGGTTTCAAATCTACTAAATTAAATTGTTTTATAATTTTACTTCACTATTCACCCCCAATCTCCTGAATTCTCCACCATAATATTTATGAATTAACTCGGTTGTTTCATCGTGTATTTTGTCTGTAGTCCACCTGTTTGTCTAATTAACATATAAATAGTTACTCTTTTAACACTAAATAATTGTCTACTTATATCATCTTTGAAATTATGTTCAGACACCATTTTGTAACATAAAATTGGCTTATATAGGATGTACGCAGTTGAAGAGAATCCACGAGATAAAATGAGCTCGTATTATCCTGCAAATATTTTCGTTCTTTCTGTATTCAAACTAATAAAGAGGACCGGCTGTATGAAACACCTTAATTTATTTCTGATTCTTTGCGTACCGAATGGGACATAGAACTTCCAGCTTGAGCCCTTGAAGTTTCAGTAGCAGTGGTGTTCACTAGCCTTACACTCAAGCTTCCCTCTTTATTGGCTAAATAAGGTTAAGGAGTGCGCCGGCCGGGGATGTAATCTCAGGGGTGGTTGGGGAGTATTCTACAGCTGAACCGCCGACTCACACACGCACGCAGTGCTAGACACCTACTTCTTTTACATATATTATCGAAGTAAACTGATTAGCTTTCACCTTGTTAATGATAGTTGGATATAGTAACACCTAGAAACAAACGAGTATTTAATAGCAAAAAATATTAGAAGTCTAAAAATAAGTTTAATTGAAGAATAGATCTCTTACAAAAGGAAATTTACAGAGGGATAAAGAGGGTTGAAAGTGCAAGGTAAGTATCAAGGTGTAGATAAGTCTTATAATCCACTTAAATACTTCTCTAGGTGGTCAATTTGTTGCTTTAACATTTGACAATTACCTTTAAAGATATTGTACTCATTTTCTCTTATGTCAACGCTTAATTTCGATTTTGAATAGACATCATCTACCTGCTTTATGTTAGATAATAACAGAGATTCTGGAGAAGTAATTTCTGATGTTTCTTCTTGTGACTTTTTAACTTTTTGCTTATTCTTCTTTTTAGTATTCTGGATAATAGTTGATTTTTGTTCAGATTTGTTATCACGTCTGTTTTGTAATTTTTGTATTAATGTATCGCATAACTGATGTAAATTATGAGAAATTGAATTCAATGGACCTTGTAAATTGTTGTATACATCTGGAGTGGAACAGTCTACACTGTCATTCAGTATGCCTAGGATAGGTTGAATTCGATAAATATCACGGAGAATAGTTTGAATGCCAAATGGGGATAGTACACCTGAGTATAAAAATAAAGCATAATTTATTAAATATATGAAGGAAATGTGAATATAAACAAAATGATATTGCTAACAATTTGATGGGAAAAAATAAATACAAATCAAGAAGACAACATGAGAAGTCAGAATATCCAATCACATAACTCCAAATAACTCAGAACCAGAGAGTATGAGGTGGCATTCCCGCTGTATTTACGAAGTTATCACCAACACTCAGAGTTGTCTCTTTTGCAAGGAGACATTCGGTATTAGCACCATCAAGTTCAGGGCTAACACACATGTCTGCAAATAAAAGACATACTACTTCTTTTTTGTGCTAAATATAGATTCATATATAAAGAACATGGGTATCTGCGGGACAGCACTAGGATACTAGCCAACCACGCAGGTGGTTCGGGTTTAACCTGCGGCTGACGCACTCCCAAACCTCGCTAAGCCAGTAATAAGACTGGCAGAGAGGGAAGGTTGGGCATGAGGCTAGCAACCCGATCTTGTAAAAGTAAACCCCACCGCTATCGAAACTTCAAGCTTCTAGCTTAAAGCCCTATTTTCCACTGATAACGTAGAGGAATAAAATAAGTAATAAATAACATGGAGGACATAAGTTTTAATTAGTCTTTCGAGTGAGATATACGGCTCCAGTAGCATATTTCCGTTGCACTAGGCCACTATTATTAACCGGCTCCCCAACTGCTCGCTGCCATGTGACATTTCTTCTTCACATGATCTCTTTCCATGTTCCACTCCAACGCTCAGCTTATAACTTCCTATCCAAGTCCACTCGAAGGTCTGCTTTATGTGTGTGACGTCACTTGAATATCTCCTCAACGTAAGTTCAACAACTCATCTCGGTTTTCTCTTTCACATTTGTTGTGTATTATGTTCTTAGATAATTGTCTGTCCGAGCATCTTTCTACTTAGTCTAATAAAATAGCCAGTCCTTAGCTAAAACTACTACTACTAACTAGGATGCCCACACAAAAGATTATATTTGTCATTGTTAAATGCCAGCATTTCGTAAAAAGTGGCTAAGGAATGAGTTATACACACTAAACTAATCTTCTTTCACGTGAAAAAAGATACTTGGATTTTATTTTCGTGTGATGTTGTAAATTATAACGATGGGAGACAATAAATTATTTTGAAAGCTTATATACTTTGTTTTATCACCATATAGTTGTTCGACAAAACTTGTAAGTCAAAAGAGTGAATGTATCATGTGAGTTATATGATTATCACTAGACACTATAGAAAAATTTCACAACGATTGAATGAATGAATGTTATACTGACTGTAACACATCGTATATTAGACACTACATTTAACCTATATTCTTGAAGCGCATACCTATACCTTAATTAAACACTTACCAATAATAAAGAAAAGCCCATTTTTAAATAAGATGAAAGTGAGATATGAAAAGCACATATATGTTCCTGTTATGGCGTGTACTATTGATGAATCGTATCAGTAGTAAATTAAGAGACATTCATTAGCACAAAAATATCAAATAGCGAGGCGACAGATTAGACGTCAAAGAAAGTAAATGATTCAGCGTTGCGGAGAGGCATAAGAGATGTGTACAAGAAGACAATGAAACACAATACCAAGGTGGGGCAAAAGTAGTAGTACAACACGGAAGATCTGTGAGCAAATGGTGCATTGAAGATAAGGTGTACAAAGTTTCGCTATATACAGACATACCAAATTGCAAATAAACACTCCTTTACCAAGTCTTTTATCCTCTACTGTTACACTCTATCACAATAGATAATATTTAATGATTCTCTAAATCAATTACACATGAAAAATTTCGACTAGGACCTGTTTTCATTTTTCAAATAAGTTACAGCCAGATAATTTACTTATTTATAAAATTCTGGTATTAGAATTGAAGAAGAAACATGATATGCTCGATTCAAGACGATCGATATTTGTAATTATGGTGACAAATTAATTTCTTTATGGTATTTAATTGTAGTGGAATATACAATATTAGTATAGTTATTTCATTCAGTAATAACTGTTTACACACCACCTCACACTTATTTTTAAAGATATATCTTCCTGGCTGAATTGTCAAGTAAGTTTTATGACTAGAAATTATGAAAAGGTAGTCGACGTATCGATTGTATACAGTCTACCGAACTGTCTCCTTAGCTCTAACTGCATTGAATACATTGGTCAAAAAGTAGAATGGTTGGCTTAAGTGTAGTCACTGTTATGATGGTGTGAAAATCTGACTATCGTGTTAAGCGTATCGGAATGAAAGGGGAAGATATTTATAGTCACTTTATTATAGCCAAGTCAATAGGAATTGGGTAATGTTATTCGAATATAACTTCCAGTATCTTTCGATCGACAGAGTCAAATACAGCTTTCAGATTAAGAAAAAATATGGCAAGTGTTAGGTAACAGTAAGTATGCATACGTTTCAGAGTGTGTGGAATGAGTATACCGTCGTCAGGGCCTAAAATTCGCACGATTTTCACAGGTCTGTTTCTGCTGAGTACGTACAGGGCTGTGTCATGTAAGGAATTTTAGACACTATATTAGTCAAACTAACCGAGCCCCGGTGTTTACCACAGTAGGAGTTGTCTCCCTTTTTATAAAATGGGATAATCAGAGATTTCTACTGGTTCAATGAAACTATCTGATTCCAACACATTACCTAATATCTTAGACATAGAGACAATAATTCATCACTGCCATTCATAGACATCACTTCATTGATACCATTAGATGTGTCATTTTAGATTAGATACAGTGTTTACAACTTCAGTTACAAATGAAGAACCGATGTCTATGGGATGCCCGTCACATTTTACGTGGTTGTAGGCCAACTGAACCCTCCCTCAAACTGTTTCTTTCAACTATCTAGTTGTCTGTCTTGAGAGGTAAATATATCACCGTCATCGGAAATCCTTTCACTTACCACTGATTTTTTATAACGCGTTTCCTTAATGTGCATGGAAAGTTATCAGGTATTACCTATCGCTGATACCTATTCTCTCTCCTTTTTTGTCGCTCACCACTCTTCACGGTCGTTCTAGAGTTTTAGTCAGTTTGCATCTGAGCAGCTATCGCCCTTTCGCATGTTTGGAGCCCGCAATAATCATTCTTTTTGTATTTGTCAGTTCTGATGAAACAAGAGAAATCCACTGACATTTACTAACCTTTGGTTATCAACAACCTTTGCCCACTGTTTCTAAAATATGAACGAAATATTCCCATATTGAGTCATAAGAAAAGGCACAAACAGCGAAGAAAATTTTCTTTTCGACGATTCATTTTCATGAGCTGTACAATCGTAATTATAATTAAACACATAAGTTTTTGACCAATCAGATACTGGTAAACTTTGTCCTTGCAAATTCTACTACATAGTGTGAGGTGTAAGAAGGGATGACTAATTGTAAGTTAGAAAGGAGACAGAAGTTGGCATGACCTAATAAGTGTGAGATAATGACTAATCAATAAGCTAGTGTAGAGTGGACAGGAACTAGTGGAAAGGTTATACAGTAGTTTTGTATAAGATGTGTGTGAAAAAGCCATGTTATTAATAAACAGTCATAGAGTGGTAATAAAATATGGATGGTGGGAATAGTAATAATAATAAAAGTATTAAGAACAGTAATAATAATAATAATAATAGTGAACTTACATATTAAAAGAGAGGAGAAAAATTATAGTCAGAAATTTACTCTGGCCATGGTAGGGCTAGAGAATGTATGTATCGTTTTTGTATACATAGGTCCGGTTTTATGTCACGAATAGCTAATGCCTCAGCTATGTACAGATGTCGTATCCGGAATCCTTTTGTACGATATTGAGGGACTCTGTGTACCACTGTGAAGCATTCGTGTGGGGGTGCTCGATGTCCGGAGATAACAAGGTGTTCGAGGATTGAGCTGTTGGTATTCTTCTTTTCTCCTCTGGCTAACCAAGCTGGACAGTGTTCCAGGATACGTTTGTGGACTTGACGTTGCGTACGGCCGATATACTTTGCTCCACACGAGCAAGTGAATTGATAAATACACATTGAAGTGGCCAAAGGCGGTATCTTGTCCTTAACGTTAGACTGGATTAACTGTCTGCAGGAGAATGTTATACGTAGAGTGGCTGTTGGGAATGTCTTCTTCAGACTTTTTGAAAGGCGGTTTCTGAGAATTTCCGCTGCGATGTCACCTTTGAATTCTAGGTTCATGAAGAGTCTTCTTAGGAACCGTTGTGATATTTGGCATCGGGGGCTTCTCCTTCATGTTTTTGTCGATGAATCTTGGCGGATACCCATTCTCTAGTAGGGTTTCACGCAATAAATTTAATTCTTTCTCCACCGTGTCTTCCGAGCAGATTTTTCTAATCCTTGAGCACAATGTACGTATCAAGTTTCTCTTTCGGGTCAGTGGAACAAAGCTCTGGAAGTTGATAAACTGTCCAGTCCATGTTGGCTTACGGTATATCGTTACAAATGGCAGCTACCAAAAACCTCCATCAATATATATTGCATATATTTTCTTCTGTTCTGTTTGTTTGAACATATTAAAGTATGATGTCTTATAGTATTGTTTACTCTGGCGTATATTTCAAACATTTACGACCTGCTGATTCACAAGTTCCTGCTAAAAAGCATTATCCTCGATGGCAGCTTCTCCCAGTACATGAGATGATCGTTCTTGAGTGGTGTCATTGGTTCACAAAATTTACTCCTAAATCTTCACTTATTGGCATTAAGCCAAATGTCGCCAGAGAGAACTGAGTCAAGCGATCTACTGTCAATTATTCTTTTATTTGAAGATCATGGACGAAGAGAAAATATTATGTGATAAGCTCCGCTGAAAATTCTGTACATTATATAAATTTTGTTTCAGAACCAAGCTGTTATTATTATTCCACCTATACCAACCTGACGTTAGCCCTCGAGTGGAGTCCAAGTGGGAAACAATAAGTTGGGCATCCGGCAATGAAATACAGGAGATCATGTGAGGATGAGACGTAAGCTTATGGAGAGCGGCCCAACTGAAGAGGACTGCAGAAAACAGGATAAAATGGAGGCATGCTGTTCAAGCCCAAAGGAATAATACATCATAAATAAATAAATGAAAGTGTTATTTTCACAAATAAAAGGAATGACACACTCATACACATACAGACACACAACTTACTCTGATTAACAGTTTGTAAATTTACAAGATGACTTAATAAATTCACATGTAAAATAATATCTTGTACGTCTAGATTAATTTTATCATTTTCTTTAGAAATGATATTAGTTATATAAGAAGAATGCCAGTCCAATGTTGTTCTAGTCTGTGTAATCATTGTAGACCAAGCTGGTGTTTGTGATTTTCCACGTTTAAATGTTACCCCGTGTTGATGACGTAATAACGTTAAATATAATTGATGCAAGCGTAAATTAACAAATAGGCGTAGAATATCTTTATTAACAATCGAGTTATCAGATAAACCGGACGACGATGTTGTTGTTGCTGTAGTTGTTGTTGACGAAGAAGTTGAATATGGTGTAAGATCTGATGGAAGATGACGTAATATCTGTTTCAATACATTATTTATTATGTCTAGATATTCAGCTTTATCACCCTATTGTAAAAAGAAAAAGAGAAAAGTTTTGAATGAAATTTGCATAGTGTACACTTCACAGAATTATACAAGTATGAAAAAAGTTGAACACAGCAAAAAAGGTTCTGAAATCAGATATATGTAACGCTATAAATGAATTAAAAGAGACACGTGTATCAAGACCAAACACCTGTATGTAACCGCTGAAATGGATAATTCACTCTTTAGGTTCATATAATCACTGATATTTTCCACTTGTAAGTAGTGTCTTGAACTGTTTAGTCACATGCTCTTTTAAGCAATGTTGTCATCCTGGGAGCTATAATAAATTCAATGATACCAAACCAGTGAAACTACCTTCATTACACTGAAGCCGTATATTCCAGTAACTAACTAACCTATATATTTCAATATACGCATGCTGTGGAGGCCGTTTACTGACGTTACGCTGCAGGGCCTTTAGTGGAATCCGAATGGGAAACGACGAGTTAAATCTTCAAGTGTGACATGGAGGAGATCATGTCAGGTGGGGAATAAATGCCTATAGGTAACTTTGAAGTCAGGTAAACGTGATTGTAGTCAACTAGATGAAAGAGAGATGTGCAGTTGAGGCCTTTTGTCCTGCTCGGAACCTAAAGAAATAATAATAATATCGATTATGATGAATTTTCTTGCATTCAGTCTTATTCCTTTTTGAATTTCACTCCATCTACTTCGGTACTAGACTAATATAAGTATTATCATCAGACACCATAAACTAAGTGGAACTCATAATCTGGTGAGTGAAAAATTCTTCCAAGGTGCCTAAGTTCACCTCTCTCTCTACCTCTTCTAAATACTCTTTCCAGGAAACAGTAGGACACTTATTGAAGAGATCAATTTGAAAGGATTTAACGACTGAATAAGAGAAGAGGAAGTGGTTTAGCATAGGAAAGCTATTCATCTATCGAAGTTGACTGTATTAGTACCAGACATAAAAGTCAGAAGTAAGGATCGTATACCAACATACAACTGACTACAAGATAAGTATATTCATTACTATCGTGTTATTAGGACAAGATGACATTTATTAATTCTATTTATGAGGGAAATTAGGTAATCTAACCTGCTATACTACATTTGGGAAGTACCATCAGCTAGTGCCAACGGGTTGATCTATGACGAAATCTCAGCTGAGTACGGATACAGGGGGCTCGTTTCGCATTTGCCAGTTTACGCCGTTTCTGGTGTAGACGAGATATTCGACTATCGATCAAAGGGCGGGCGTACTGCTCATCAGTCCGCTCTGTCCTCCTTTATGGCTGTGAGATCTGCTCACTGAGAGTGGAAGACATGAAAAGACTAGCTGTCTTCAATCATAGGTGCCTGCGCTCTATTTCCCGTGTAAAGTGGCATAATAAGGTGAGCAACATTGAAGTTAGGCGTCCAGTTCTAGGTAAACAAGGGAAATCAATCGACGAAGTTGTGAAGTTACAAAGACTGAGGTGGTTAGGACAAGTGCTACGTATTCCTAGTCATCGCCTCCCTCGACGAGCAATGTTAGCGGATATAGGGTCAGGTTGGAAAAAAGCTAGCGGAGGTCAAACAAAAACATGGCACCAGTCAATGAAATCCACAACAGTTGGTCTAAGCCACGTAGGAAGGTGTAGACTTCCAGGCTGGGGTCCTCGGGACGGTAAAAATCTATGGTTGGAAACAATTGGTGACATAGCTCAAAATCGTTCTCAGTGGCGCAGATGTATCCACTCCTTGTGATTTATGATTTCCAATGAAACTTTTTTGTTCTTCGTTATTACTCCTCTGTCTCACTGTTTCTAGTATGCTTCCCTGTACTTTCTTCTCTTGATTCGCGTGCTACACGGAGTGTGGCGACTTGAACTTCCGCACATTTGTGCAAAGTTCTATGTCGAAAACAGACAGACAGCTATACATACTGTGAGGATGATCATATAGTAGTATTGTAACGACAGAAGACAAGGGCCAGACAGCAAATTGTTTATTGAGAAAATCAAGAGGTATTTATCGATTTTTATGTGCATTATTGTTAGCGGAGAAGCAGTCTTTTCTGATTGGTTGTTTTCTTGCTGAGGGTTATTCTGTTATCTTTTTGTGGTCGTTTCTCAGAAAGCTAAGTCGTATATCTGCGAATCATATTTTCAAACGTTAACTCCGCTGTGATTGGCTGGTGATTTTCTCAAAGTTAAGCTTTGCTGTTGTTTTCCTCATAACTCTGATTCGGGATGTGAACAGAGACGTGAACTTTTGTCAAAAATTTTGGCTTGCACCCAGCTCTCACTGCAGTATGAACACAGAAGAATGAGACTCTATAAACAATCAGTTAACAAATATTATCTTAAACGTTTTCCTAAAGAATATAAGAAAAAATGGTTCGTATCCCACCCCCACGCCCTCATGCACCACTTTTAATCTACTACACTGTTGTGAACTTTTCTTATAATACGTATCTAGTCATATTCATATCTCTACCGCTATTAACACTCTTTTTTTCCTTTATATGTTTAAGCCATTCCGGCTTCATTGTAAAATGAATAAAGCCTAAATTCTTGGTTCATTCGTCTTTTCAAGATTCAAGCATCACTCATCGTTCTAAGACTCAATCACCTTCGTAACAATTTATTCATTTTACAATATTCATGGAACGATTTTTCCGACCTGATCGGTTCGACGTAGAACCTAACGCAGTTGGAGCTGCCAAGAAGTGGGATCACTGGTTTGCGACTTTTTCCTACTTCATTGAATCAATGGGATCCGAAAATCCTTCGAAACTACATATTCTCTTCAATCATATTTCTACTTCTGTATACGAATGCATTTCTGAATGCAAAACATACGAAGAAGCTATCGACACTCTCAAGAGTCTCTACATGCAGCCTTGCAACGAAGTGTTTGCTCGACACTTGTTAGCAACGTGTAAACAAGAATCTGGCGAAAATCTGGATCAGTTTGTTCGTCGACTCAAGTCGCTGACTACAGATTGTTCATTCAGGGCAGTTACAGCCGAAGAACATCGTAACGAATCTCTACGTGATTCATTCATCTCAGGTATACAGTCTTCGATGATACGCCAGAGGCTATTAGAACAGCGTACTTTAACTTTTCAAGCGGCATACGATCAAGCACGAGCTCTAGAGATGGCACATCAACAATCGCAGTCATACAACAATCCTGTTACACCTTGCGCGTCCATTTCTTTACATGATGTACCTCATTCATCAGATTCCACACCCTCCGTCAATGAAACAACCATTGCTGCCGTTGAATCCAAATGCTTTTTCTGTGGTAATCGTAGACATCCTCGTTCCAAATGCCCCGCCCGTGATGCAGTTTGCAAAGCTTGTGGCAAGCAAGGACATTTTCAGAAGGTTTGCAGGTCTGCGCCATCTACGAAAAAAGGTCCATCTTCAGTTAACTCTATAATTTCATCTCTCGTTGTGGCTTCAGCACCTCAAAGTCTCACTGATGCTGTTACGCAGCTTACTGTCAATGGGAAATCAATGCAAGCTCTAGTGGATACCGGAAGCAGTGAGAGCTACATCTCTTCCTCAGTTGTTCGTAAGTATAACTGGAAAGTCCATAAGTCTCGAAACAGAATCACAATGGCGAGTACGAATCTTACTAGTCATACTGAAGGACATTGTCTTCTATCCATCTGCTATAAAAACCACACTTATGATCTATTCAAATTTTCCATTCTTCATAATTTATGTGCAGACGTCCTTCTTGGACATGATTTTTTAAAACTTCACAAACACATTGAGATTCCTTTTGGGGGATCAAAGCCGCCTTTTTCTCTCTGTGGTCTACCTTGTGTTCGCGTCGACCTGCCTATCCTGTTTGAAAATCTTTCAAAAGACTGTAAACCGATCGCGATAAAATCCCGGCGTTATTCTCGTGAAGATGAAAGTTTTATTTCCACCGAAGTCAACCGGTTACTGCAAGAAGGTGTTATTGAACCTTCTAATTCTCCTTGGCGAGCTCAAGTTCTTGTTACGTCAAACGAACGCCATAAAAAGAGGATGGTAGTTGATTATAGTCAGACAATCAATCGATTCACTTTTCTGGATGCTTACCCATTACCTAGGATTGACGAAATGATAGAAAAAATCGCACAATATGACATATTCAGCACTCTTGATCTGAAGAATGCTTATCATCAAATTGCCCTAAGGAACGAAGATAAACCATATACTGCTTTCGAGGCTTGTGGGAAACTTTACCAATTTTGCCGAATTCCTTTTGGTGTTACCAATGGCGTAGCTTGTTTTCAACGCATTATCGATGAATTGATCAGTAAAGAACAACTCACAAGCACGTTTGCCTACATTGACAATGTCACTATCTGCGGCAAAACTCAGGAGGAACACGACAAAAATCTAAACAAGTTTATGGTAGCAGCACGCAATTATGGAATAACCCTTAATGATTCCAAAAGTGTGATCTCAAGCAGAAGCATACAATTACTCGGTTATGAAGTTTCAAAGGGGGTTATTAAACCAGATCCCGATCGGCTAAAACCTCTTCGTGATCTAGAACCACCCACAGATATCAAATCTCAACAACGGGCCGTTGGATTATTTGCTTATTATTCACAGTGGATCCCTCGCTTCTCAGATAAAATCCACCCATTGGTAAATAATCGGATTTTCCCTCTTGATATCGAAACTCGAAATGCTTTTGACAAACTGAAAGACGACTTAGAACGTGCAGTCGTTGTGGTAGTTGATCCGAAAGCACCCCTTGTTGTTGAAACAGATGCTTCAGATGTCTCAATTGCAGCTACATTAAACCAGAATGGTAAACCTGTCGCCTTCTTTTCTCGAAGCCTCTCTCGAAGTGAGAAACATCATTCATCGGTTGAGAAAGAAGCCTATGCCGTGGTTGAAGCAATTCGTAAGTGGAAGCATTACCTTCTCGGAAATCACTTCAAACTTGTCACTGATCAACGTTCAGTAGCATTCATGTTTGACAAGATTCATAAAGGCAAAATCAAGAACGATAAAATAATGCGTTGGAGAATTGAGCTATCCCCTTATCAATATGACATCATTTATCGTCCTGGAAGGGATAATCAAGCTGCTGATACATTTTCCCGTAGTTTCTGCGGTTCCTTGCAGTCAGTGTGCGACTTGAAATTTCTCCATGACTCTATGTGCCATCCTGGAGTTGTCCGAATGATGCATTTTGTACGCTCGAGAAACCTTCCATTCTCCCTTGACGAGGTGCGCAATGTAACCAGTAAATGCGTGACATGCTGTGAGTTAAAGCCTCAATTTTACAATCCCTCTAATTTCAAACTCATAAAAGCAACCCAACCTTTTGAAAGGTTAAGCATCGACTTTAAAGGACCTCTACCGTCAGCTAGCCGCAATCACTATCTGCTCACGCTGATCGATGAATATTCTCGATTCCCCTTTGCATTCGCCTGCCCCGACATGTCGTCTCAAACGGTAATGAATTGCCTTTGCCAACTGTTTTCGATTTTCGGTATGCCTTCTTACATACATACCGACAGAGGCGCTGCTTTCATGTCTACCGAATTACGGGCATTTCTTCTGGAGAAAGGCGTAGCAACCAGTCGTACTACCTCATACAATCCTCAAGCCAATGGGCAGGTCGAGCGCCTCAATGGAACACTTTGGCGTGCCATCACTCTAGCATTAAGATCACGGGGCCTACCAACGGCACAATGGGAGTCTGTTCTACTCGACGCCTTGCATTCCATCAGATCTTTGCTCTGTACTGCAACGAACGCCACGCCACACGAACGACTGTTTACCTATAACCGAAGATCGACATCTGGGACAACTCTTCCTACTTGGCTCACTGTACCAGGACCAGTACTTCTCCGGCGGAGTGTTCGTCAGTCCAAATTCGATCCCCTGGTTGAAGAGGTGGAGCTATTGAATTGTAACCCGCAATTCGCTCACGTTCGCTTCGGTAATGGACGTGAAGATACAGTTGCTCTTCATCATCTGGCACCCAAAGGCGAAGATATAGATCAAGTTGAAAATTCAATACCGGAGGGCGACGCAATTCCTGAGCAACAAGTAAATGGGGATGCGACCACTGATCCTAATATTCTTCGTGAAGAAAATACAACTGAAACGAACAACGGGCGTATTCTTTTGGAAAAACAACAACGTGTACGGCCTTACAATTTGCGTACCAGAGAAGCGTGACATAATGGCTCATTCCTTTTCAAGCCGCAGTGAATGTTGTGAACTTTTCTTATAATACGTATCTAGTCATATTCATATCTCTACCGCTATTAACACTCTTTTTTTCCTTTATATGTTTAAGCCATTCCGGCTTCATTGTAAAATGAATAAAGCCTAAATTCTTGGTTCATTCGTCTTTTCAAGATTCAAGCATCACTCATCGTTCTAAGACTCAATCACCTTCGTAACATACACTACTGTAGATTTTTATTCGAAGATGAAAGCTAAGTGATAAGAGTAGACAAAGAAGAAGAAGAATGCGACTGTTCAGCCTTCTACACTCATTCAAAAAACGTAATTGTGGTTAAAAAGGTGAGTTGAAAAATATCAAAAGTAGGTAGTTAAATCTTTTATCTGTGTTGTCCACCAACCAACTGATGTGGGCGGCTAACATGTTTAGAACGAATACATGCCAGTCACATACATAGCAGACTGTCAGTGGTAGAATGCTCGTTAACCATGCACATGGTCAGGGTACAATTCCTAGATAATGTGCTACCAAGCCTGGGCTAAATGACGAGCCGACAACAGTAGGCCCAGAAAAAAGGGAAGGTTGAGCGTAAGGAAAGCAAACCTACCCAGTAAAAACAACATCATCGCCGATAAAACTTTAAAGCAAGAAATGAAAAAACCATATAACACAAATGGAAAAGTTAGCATAAGAGAAAGTCTGTTATCGACTATTTTAAACAAAACGTGGCAACGAAGAAAAGAGATGATCACTACTAATACTTGATTTGTAATAAACGATGTGTTTTATAGTTATAGTTCTTAAGATTTCGAAATGTATATATCATGTATTTTGAAATTCCTACCTTGGATTGACTAATCAGCTTTGTCAATGTACTGCTTTTAACTACAATAGAATGAACACAAACAAGCTATTTTATCAATTTCTTAGTTCTGACTTAAGCTGTTTGCATTCTATCTCCAGTGTTAAGTGGTATAGCTTGGTAATCAATATCGAGGTTAGGCCTACAGTGCTAGACAAAGAAGAAGGGTCAGTCGATTAGGTTGTGAAGCTAGATTGATTGAGACAGTTAGGATACAGGCTGTGCACGACAAATCATCAGCTTCCTCGACGAACAACGTTAGGAGACATGGGATTAAGTTGGAAAAAAGAGTTAGAGGTGGTCAAACCAAGAACTAGCGTCAGTTTATGGAGTCATTGACAGTTGATTTGAGCCATGTATAAAGATGTGGACCACCGTCTAGCAGGGAACCAATAGTTGAAGACTATTAATGATTATATAACTCAATATTGTTCTTAATTGAGTAGATGTATTCACTCTTTGTTTTTCGTGTTACTATTTTTTCTCTTTCACATTCTTGCTCATTGTATTTCTTTTAAATCTCACTTTCTAACTCTTTTCTCTTTATCTTCCTGTGGTACATGAAGTATGGCAATTCGAACTGTTACACTAGTGTGAATATAAAAAAGAAAATTATCCACCAATCACATTGTTTTTACTGGACATCACAAATCTATGAACGAACATAAGGCAAAAGATTAAAAAAAAACAACATACAACCAATTTAGCTTACCTTAAAAGATTTGAATTCTTCTAAAGTAATCGCCAGATATTCATTCCCTGTACGTAATAAATCAACACAAAATTGTACAGACGATTGATGTTGTTGATGCTGGTGTTGTTGATTACTTGAGTGTGTTTGACTTATCTGATAATGCAACAATGCTTCAATAGATCTTGCTAAACATACAGATGTTAATGAGAATTGATCATTGACATTCATCTTTTTATTATTTGTTACTAATTTATTTTCAACTTGTTGATTAAAAAATAATGTTTCCATAGGTAGACTACATTCTTGGCTTTTTCTCCACTTATATAATGAACTTAATTTGTTTGCCCAGAGTAAAGAGGATGACGACGGCGATGATGATGGTGATGATTGAGAGTATAATGCAAGTAATTTGAATAATTGAAATTCATTTGTATCATTTAATAAATAGGATGTTATATTCATACTACTCAAATTGTCATTGGCAGTAGTAGTATTCATACATTCAAGTGGATTAGACGATATTATAGACAGATATTGGTCTAGAATTTGATTGAATTTCAAGTTAGTATCTTCATCCTTTAATTGTTTTATTTATATAGAGGAAAGAATAATAAATAAAAGTATTATTAAGAGAAAATAACAATGCAAAATGTGTTAGACTGATATACACAGATTGCTTTGGCTCACTGACTTAAGTAATCGATCTTCAATTAATGGGATCAGGTTTTGAACCCCATTCCATCTGTTGCTCCAGCCTAGACAACTAACTATACAGCGTCATAAGATCTTGAACAATAAGCGTGGCTAATAACGTGATAATACGTAAGTAACTTTGCAGTAAACAGCATACTTTGATGTATTTAATCAATAAAACTCAACTAATCAGTGACCACCTAAGGATTTTCCCTAGAACAATTTAGTTATCATGTAGGTTGATAATACTAGCCAACTGTATATTGATAAGCTCCTGTACATTGACAGATGATGTACAAAAGATATGCGCTAGTATTTGTGGGAGTTTTTTTCTGTGCTTTGAAGTGTTTCTGTAGCGATTGGGTCGATTGGTTTCACTCACAACTTGGAACTGGTAAACTAGGCTATCTAAAATCACCGATAATATATATACTTGACTGAGGTGAGTGTACACAAGACCAACGAGAAGACACTGGGAGATTTAGAATTTGTGAATAGTTCACGTCTAATACCACACGAACTCGAAGATCTACAGCAGCAAATATGGAACTTCAATAGAATACTGAAAAGACGGATGCGATGAAGATACTCAAACTAACAACAACCAACAGAAATTACCATCAATGAGGGAAACATTTAAAAGAGTCATATTTTTCACTTATCTAGGTGGCGTAGCCCCAACTACAGGCAACAGAAATGAGGATGTCAAAGCTAGGAGAAGCATGATAAACCTTCATTACTCTGAAATCAATATGGAAATCTCTTGCACTCAGCATAAAGAGTAAGATTCAGATCTTCAACACTGATGTCAAAGAAGTGCCTCTGTATGTTTCAGAGAATTGGAGCAAGAGTCACGAAAAGCATTTTCAATAGCCTACTGCAGGCTTTTAACAACAGCTGACTGCCTTCGCATGATACTGTGGATCACATAGCCAGTTGGAAAGTATCATCAACACAGAACTTTGACATTGAACCAAATAATAACCTATCATTCAACAGGAAGTGGAGAGAGATTTGACATATGGTTGCCAACAAATATGGCTGAGGAAACCAGTTGGTTGAAATCATGCACCAAGTCGGGCTTTCAGTGGAACCCGAATGAGAAACCAAGGGTTGTGTGTCCGAGAATGACATGGGGGAGGAAATAAAGGCCTATGGGTAATCGTATAGGCAGCTTACTGACTGGTTTCAACACAGAACTTTGCACCGATGTGCAGCAGTTTGAGTTGCCACGCTCTCTCCATTTAGCACACAAAGCAAGAGAAGAGAGTGAAGAAAGATTCAAAAGACAAATAACAAACCGAAGTGTGAGGGGAAAAGAATAGTAATCTGGAAGAACAATATGGTTTTATGGGATATTATAAATCACAAAGAGTGAATGCACTTGCCTTATTGAGAACGATTTTGAGGCGTATCACCAACTGTTGTCATCCTGAGAACTCCAACCAGCCCATAAGCCTACACCCCCTGACGTGGCAGCTGGGTTAAACTAACTTTTGTGGATTTCATTGGGTTATGAAGCCGTGTTTTGGTCTAACCACCAAAACTTGCTCTTTTCCAGCCTGATATTATATCAGATAACATTGATCATCGAGGGTGGCGATGGATTGGCATGCGCAACACATGTCCTAACCATTTCAATCGATGTAACCTCACAACATCATCGATTGGCTTCACCACTCGATAGATGCCTCACCTAAATATTGCTCACGCTATTATGCCAACACCACCAAACATGGGTGATAGAACAAGGACAGCTAGCCACGCTTTCAGTGGCCATGTTTCACAGCCATAAAGGAGGACGGAGCGGACTGCTGAGCAGCATACACACCCTTTGGTCGATGGCCGGATATCACATCCACTAAGTTGACAAATGCCAAACAAGGCTTTTGTATCCGTTTTGAGATTTCGTCAACGATCAACCCGTTGAAGCTGATAAGTGGATAAGTGAAGTGGTCAACACGCTCTACCACTTCACTCCTTATCTTTAAGCTAGGAATAGCCGATGTAGTCCAGTCCTGTAGCATTATCATCTCACATGGGCAACTAAATGGAAGTGGAAGTATGCTGCTGAAATCCTATGCTCCACTCAGAATTCCATGGAACAATAATTAGAATTTTTAGAAGTAATCTGCCTTTATTTGGTCTCAACAAATAAAAGAAAACACAATTAGACGTACACCACTCCACATGCACACACACACATGAATAATAATATTATTGAACAAATGAAGGTCATTTAATTTCCTCTGGAAAAGATATTAAACAATAAAAACATCTGAACAAAAAGAAAAATACACTTTCACCTTATATAAACACAAAGAAAATAGCTAAAAAGTAAACAAAATTATTTCGATAAGAAAATAAATAATCACATGTATATTGTGTACATGTGTGAATGATATAACCAATGGCTATGAGGTAATAATAAATACCCTTCAGGGAATGCAAAACATAATCACTAACATCACATGAATTTCCCTATTTTTTTTGCCATGTTGTATCATGGGCTATTATTATTATTACTGTTTTGTGTCTTTCAGTCCAAATACTGTTTATATGTAAACAAGGAAATATTAAAAACTTAATAAATAAATGTCAATACTAATAATTATTTCCTGAACGAAAGAGGTTATCAATTTTGTGTTGATACCCTCTAAATAGGCATCAGTTAGATGCCTAGTTTAAAAATAGGAAGTGAAGTGGTAGAGCACGTTGACCACTTCACTGATTTGGGAAGTACCATCGGCCAGTGCCAACGGGTTGATCTATGACGAAATCTCAGCACGGATACAAGAAGGTCGTTTCGCATTTGCCAGTTTACGCCGTCTCTGATGTAGACGAGATATTCGACTATCGATCAAAGGGCGGGCGTACTGCTCATCAGTCCGCTCTGTCCTCCTTTATGGCTGTGAGATCTGCTCACTGAGAGTGGAAGACATGAAAAGACTAGCTGTCTTTGATCATAGGTGCCTGCGCTCTATCTCCCGTGTGAAGTGGTATAATAAGGTGAGCAACATTGAAGTTAGGCGTCCAGTTCTAGGTAAACAGGGGAAATCAATCGACGAGGTTGTGAAGTTACAAAGACTGAGATGGTTAGGACATGTGTTACGTATTCCTAATCATCACCTTCCTCGACGAGCAATGTTAGCGGATATAGGGTCAGGTTGGAAAAAAGCTAGCGGAGGTCAAACCAAAACATGGCCTCATAACCAGTCAATGAAATCCACAACAGTTAGTTTAAGCCAGCCACGTAGGAAAGTGTAGACTAGCTGGCTGGTTTGGGTCCTCGGGACGGTAAAAACCAATGGTTGGAAACAATTGGTGATATGGCTCAAAATCATTCTCAGCGACTAGCGCAGATGCATCCACTTCCTGTGACTTCCTATGATTTCCAATGAAACTATGTTGTTCTTCGATATTACTGTTCCTTTTGTCTTGTATCTCTGTTTACTGTCTCTATTATGCATTTCTTGTACTTTCTTCTCTTGCTTTGTGTGGTACACGGAGTGTGGCGACTTGAACTTCCGCACATTTGTGCAAAGTTCTATGTCAAAAACAGACAGACAGACAGTTTGATGGCAATGTAAGTATGATTCATTACAGTTGACTACAAGACTTACGATTAATTGGATTTCGGATTCAGAAACTATTCCACTTCTTTTAGTTTGAAAAGCAAGGCAGTGAAGTTAGTTAAATTTGTAACATCTCCCACTATGGCTAAGTAAAGGTGTAGTGAAAATCATTAACAGTTCGATATTGGACTATCTGGTGCAGATGGGGCACAAAGCCAGCCAGCCAGCATTGAAGAATCCTTCCCCATCATCATCTACCGGGTGCCTAATAAACTGCCAAAATCATCAAAGCACCACATGCTTCAAATAGCAGAGGCTATTGCAATTCGCCTCAAACAACCAGTTCTTTGTGTTCAAAAGAAGAAAGTCCAGCCCCTACTACAGCCGTGGCCTTCAGTAGAGACTATAAATTCATAAATTTATAATATTATCTTTCTTAATCTGCCTTTCTGACATTCAGCTTATTTTATGTTGATGCTATTGAACTGTAATCTATCGATATTACTTATTCGATGTTACTTAAACATTCATGTTGTTCATAACACTAATTCATTCGTTCACTATAATGTATAGATAAATGTAGAGTTTGATGATGAAGTTATCGAAAAGAGTACTCTTTGTTCAGTATCCATTCTTTTGCTAATTTGTATTTCTCGTTGTGTGTCGGTGGCATAACAGTTAGGACGCTCGCCGACCATGCACATGGATCGGGGTTCGATCCCCGGCCACCGACGCACTCCTTTACCTCAACAAACCAGTAATAAGACTGGTAAAGAGGAAAGGTTGGACATGAGGCTAGGAACCCCATTCTTTAAAAATAAACACTGCTACAGAAACTTCAAGCCACTAGCTTGAAGCAACCCTATGTTCTACTGGGGAACGTGAAGGAAAAGTAAAATATTTCTCGTTGAATTGAAATAATTGGTCTTTGTAGTCATCTCGGTTTCTTGTATGGATATTTCAACGATGTTTGATGGTTGACGTGATGTCATCTTGCTGATGGTGGATAGCAGTAGAATCCAGGAGGCACATTTCATCCTATTTACAACCTTTCAGCCAAGTGTGTTTGTATTCCCAGTAAGTGGTGATGTTCCCACTCAGATCCAATCTTTTGAATCAAAGATTGAGTATTTTTGGTCCAATAAAATCGCTTAGGGGAAATAAAAATCCGCTTAAAACAAATAACTGATATCTATTTGACAAGATATGACTTTAGTGGCATTTGAAACGATGCATACTGAATTCATATGACAGGATGGACATCATCACTCACTTAGGAATGCAGAGTCATCTATTGCTGGTCATTATCAACCATATAACACATTAATCAGAACTCAATTAAGTGGAACAGATTTTAGATGCACCATTCTATGAACCACACTTATTTTATGCGAAGGTTGATGATATACTTAATATTCCCAGTTACTCAGGTTGAAGTAGATAGACTGTGTGGGATTCAAATCTTGGAACTACTATTACCACCACTGACTGAAAGTTGAATAATTGCAAGGCTCATTGAATTCTAGTTGAATGTATTGATTAGTAAAATTTAAAAGACGTGAATATTATCTAGGCAAATGTATATTCAGATTTCATTTTAGTTATTTATTATTTACTGAATTCCTTAAGATCACATGTTTATGAGCAAGAAATTTTGATCTACACTTTTATTCTTCAGTATATATAATATTGCATCATTCTGTCATGTAATAAATAAACAAACTGATAGGGTATTATTACTCTACTAGAAAGCATACAAGTTTCACTTTCATATCAATGATACACTATTGAATTTCAATACAGTTTTAAACTACATATATATCATCCAAATTGATACCATAGAAAGTAAAATTGGTTAAATATGATTATTATGTAATGAAATTGAATATATGTAGGGTTTTGAAAGAAGATAATTAGCTAATAAACTCCTAATGTTGTTAATATCAAAAATTCAGGCAACGCTCATTAGACTGTGGTGTTATGAGAAAAGTAAATGGTACTTTGGTTTCTTCGTTATATTTGAATGCAGGTCTCTTGTATGCTCGTTAATACACCTGTTAGTTTCGTTAATGGATTTTCTACCTAGTCGATTCGCTAGCCTATTTTTACAACTCCTATTGGCAACAACAAACGACAAAAACGACACCATACCATACCACCGAAAACGCGACACAAGAAGATAAGAAGAGAATACAGACTGCTGACGTGGAGAGCTTTTACTGTCTCGTATCCACAGCAGAAATGATTGACATCGCCTGGATGTTGACATTTGCTTGGCTTGAAGCAAACTGGAGAGAGACTAACTACAGTGATTAATTAAAACAGTCAACAGCCAATAAGACCTCAAGATCATAAGTGGGGTGGGAAAAATACAACCAGACATGTAAAAGTACATGTAGAAAATGAGGTGTACATATCACCTCCCCTGTCAAAGAAAAGAGCATGAACGTGTAGAATAAAATTAGTACATCTTCTTCATTAGGTCAAATCGGAAACGTACTGTCTGAGATCTCTTGAGACTGGACTGCCTTCTGGGCTGAGATCCCTTCTTGTTCTGCGACTCCCGTTGTTTTCCCTTCGTATCCACTGGAGGTAGTTTAAATGTATCAAATAAAATATCTAGGGGTATTTCAGGTTTTGAGGACGTCACGTGGCACCTCTCTTTTATATCTCATTTAACCTAAATCAGCCTTGGCAAGTGGATGATAGCATCTGCAAGTTTAATATGCAGTCTGGAAGAGATGAAAAGTAATTTTCGAGTGTCTGTATTCTAACGCATACTAGAAACACAAAATTATTGATATCCTGAAGTAGAAATTGAAGTTCAGATTAGAAATTAAATAGATAACAAGTCTTAAAACCTGAACAATTATTTAATTTTAAATCTAAAGCTGATTAAGAAGAGAAATAAGGTACTATATATTCTGTGAGGATTAACAACACATGTGACAGTTAATCTCTCAAATATGTATAATACCTAACCAAAGCAACTTGGTGAGGCGCCTCTAAGGGAAGAAAGATCTTATGAAGAAGAAATGAAGGTATATGGGCAATCAGTTGTGGAAGCCGTTAAAAAAGATTGCACAGTGCAATAGAAATGAGCCTGTGAAGTCGTATTGTTTCACTCGGGGTGCAAGTAATAAATTATATATTTATATATTCTTCATGGATCAGAGACTTGGTGCGTCATGAAGAGCACCTCAAACAAACTACAGACCTTCATCAATAGCTGTCTTTTGTCAATACTCAAGATCAGATAGCCGGCCAGAAAAGATCAGCAACAGGGATATCTGGGAGCCAACCAACCAGGAACTGATTGTGCAACAAATAAGCAGGAAGAAATGGAGGTGAACTGGTCATACTTTGAGAAAACCATCAAGTGAAATCACACGACAGGCTCTCGAGCGGAACAAGAACGGGAAGCGGCGAGTTGGTCGTCAGTGCGAGGGTGACATGGAAGAGGTCATGTGAAGAGGAGATGAAAACAGTTGGGCAGACGTGGATCCAGGCTAAAACGTTGGCAGAGAACGGAACGCAATGGAGACGTGAGGCTGAAGCCCTATGTTCCTATATATGTTTATATCACTTATTCTCACTCATGTGTTTAAAACTTTGTTTTTTATTACTGTTTAAGTAGAACAGAGAAATGAAACGGCCTACCTCTATTCGAAAGCTCTCTATGTACTGATTTGTCTCTCATCACTTTACATAGAATAGTGTACTACTTCCTATCTGTTGTATATTATTAGTATTGTTCCCTTGGGTTTCGAGTGGAACGCAAAGCTTCAACAGGACGTCTCCATTTTATCCTATTGTTTGCAGTTCTCTTCAGCTGACCTCACGATTGTCCATAGTCTCTGGTTCCCTACATTACACCCTCAGACGCTCAACTCTCCGTTTCCCATTAGAGTTACACTCGAAGATATGCCTGGCGCGTGATGTCATTCGACAATCGCCTTAGCGTGATGTATAGTGGTCAAAATATTAAAATAACTAACAATAAATTTTTTTAAATTCCTATTTGAACAACAATAATTAGTGATAAAAACGAAAAACAAAAACATCCATCACTTACCTCATTTGTACTGATACATTCTAACCACATACCACGTAGACTACAGACAAACATATTCATTAGAACTGGCCACCAATCATTGGTTATCTTCAATTTGGTCATATACAACTTTGAATCACACGTTAGAGTTTTATTATATCGTTTTAATTGATTATTTGGTTTATTGGGAAGACGATGAGGATGATGATGAAGAGACGATTGTAAAAATACACGTTGTAAACAACAAGCTGCTAAATTTAAAATTTTGAACCAATTCTCATATCTTGTCATAAGCGAACAAGAACCAGCATTTATCTAAATATGAAGAAAAACAAAAGTAGAATTAGAATAAATAAGCCTTCCCCACCCCACCCCACTATCCCCATAGAAAAAAGTGTTAGCTAATCAATACAGGAAAAGTTAAAGTGATCATTTATATTTGAGTAATTAGTTCAATGTTAAGGATTTTTATTCCTTCACGTTCCCCAGGGGAACATAGGGTTGCTTCAAGCTAGTGGCTTGAAGTTTCTGTAGCAGTGTTTATTTTTAAAGAATGGGGTTCCTAGCCTCATGTCCAACCTTTCCTCTTTACCAGTCTTATTACTGGTTTGTTGAGGTAAAGGAGTGCGTCGGTGGCCGGGGATCGAACCCCGATCCATGTGCATGGTCGGCGAGCGTCCTAACTGGTTATGCCACCGACGCACAAGTGTTAAAGATTATTCGATGTAAATTACGTGCTACTCAACGGCACAAAGATAGAAGTTTGATAAGGTTAAAATTGCTCTTGAGTGAGAATAAAGGTATATTCGAGTGTCAATTTAACAAGTGTGAAGAGGGTATGAAAATATACAAAAGGAGCATATGAGATTGATAATAGTGAATTAATTATTAAAGCAAAAGCAAACTAAAAATAAAGTTAAAAACAAAAGAAAAAATCAATTTTTTTCCAGGGAACGATTAGTGAAGAGCTTAAGACCAAGGTAGAATAAGAGACTGGACAAACTTTTCCTGTATACAGAGTTCAGGGAGGCGCTGGCAATTCATCAATACAACCCTGAACTCTGTATACATAAAAAGTTTGTCCAGTCTCTTATTCTACCTTGGTCTTAACCTCTTCACTTATTGTTCCCTGTAAAAAAATTTGATTTTTTCTTTTGATTATTAGATGGTTAGAAGCAATTAGCAGGAAGCCTCAGACGTAGGTCATATGCGTATTGGTACTCATCAGCACGTAAGCTCTAACGTCAGTCAGAAAACTACCTAGAAATAAAAGACATTGGACAGTTTTTTTCACTCCAATCTGGGACTCTTCAACCAGACCAGGAATAGAACTGAAGATCTTCGAATTACGTGGTGAGAATGTTTTCAAATCAACCATAAAGTTGAAAATTAACTGGTTAATTTATTTTAACTTCTGTCTACCTTTGAAGTAAAACCATCACTGTTCATTATCATCCTTGAGGAACAACTGTTTTCATATCATTCAATTTGGTGGGCTTTATTTGACACGACTTTCCATCAAACTTCTAAGAAAATTATCTTGAAGTTAGCAACCAATGAGCAGTGAATTGGGGTTTCTTTCGTGAAGCTAATCAAATTCCTACAAATTCGCCTTCTTAGCCAACTATCGACCCAACAGGAGAATGAATCTTGCTAATCTGGTTAACACATGGTGTTGCTCTGTTAGTGCATTAAGAATCTTACGGAATTTTATACAGAAGTATTAGTGTCTGAAGTGTTGCATTTCACTTTGCTTTTCATATATAATACTGAGAGAAGCATTCTAGAACTTTTTATGGACAGATGATGTAAACATTACGTTTCCAGGAGAACATAGGGCTTCAAGCTAGAGCTTTGAAGTTTCGGTAGCAGTGGAGTTTATCTTCACGGAATGGAGGTTGCTAGCCTCATGCCCACGCTTCCCTCTTTGCCGGTTTTATTACTGGCTTAGTGAGGTAAGGGGATGTGTCGGCCGGGGATCAAACCCGAACCACCTATGTCATTGGCGAGCATCCCACCGCTGAGCCACCGACACACTGATGTAAACATAACTTATACAAAGCACAATAAACTGATATACTACTGAATCCTGTTAATAGGCGACTAAAAATTTGTGTTTAAGGGTTTCATCATGAACTAGCATCGGTTAGAGGACGTCTACAAACCTGAGAGACAGCTGTTTCGTCCTAGCTTGGCACTCATCCTCAATACGCACCTACGACCTTCTGGTTACAAGGCGAGCTCGTAGACAATTAAGCCACCGGGACCCGATCCAATGGACCGTCGATTCCAACTTCTGCCAATTCTTGATATGGCACAATAAATAGCCAATGTCACCGACGAGTATTTGTCCTCATACCTGACCTTCTGTACCTCAGTGGTCAGGCCTTCCCACTAGAACCTACCTGAATAGGGTCAGTCACCAGTGAGCATTAGATTGATATTCAAGTATTCATTTGCAGGGATTTGATTGGTTTTAGGGTTTCATCATGGTCCAATATTCATCTAACCGATTTCAATTCATGATGAAATCCTGAAACCAATCAAATCCCTGCAAACCAACACTTAAATTTGTGCTGGTTAATAATGTGATTTTTTTGTTTAGAATTAAGTTCATCTCATGTATGTAGTTTACCCTTTAACTCATCCAGTTTAGAAAACTTTAGTAGTCGAGTTTCTTTGAAAAACTTCTAACCGGCAATATTACCACAACTAAGGGTTCAAATGACTTGTAACCAGCCACCTTGATGACATTAGTGTTTCTAACAGTGACAACAAGGAGAGGTTATAATAGGATATATAGCTCGACATATCAAAGGTTCAGTGGACGGAATCTGGGTGGTGAATTTGTATCTCCCAATTAGGAAGAGTATGTCTAGGTGAAATTCAATCTATCTGTGACAAAGGGGTAAAAAAAACTCCAACTATGCCGGGGTACAAAATAAAAAGAAACGAAAATGAGGTTTAAAAACTATTATCTACAAAAACTACACACATATGATTTTGATTTTTTTTGATTTTTGATTTACAGCTTGATTCCACACTGTATTTTTGGTACAATTACGGAATTTTTAGCATGGATATCGGTAGCCCAAATTTTGCAGGCCGACCATCGATATCAGGTGTGCACCGGCGTGGGCTCGGACCCCGGACCATGTGCATGGTCGGCGAGAGTCCTAACCACTGTGCCACCGACGCACATATGAACCATTACATAGTAAAATAAATGCGAGGACGGCAAAATTATCCAGTAAAACTGAAATCCTATGAAGTCGAACGTAAAACATAACATAAACTTGCTTACATAAGAGCTATCATCAACAAATTACACAGAAATACATAAGGTTTTGTAAGTAAACGGACAAAGTTAAACTTTAAGCTCCACTAACTACCAACCAGCAAATGACCTTGAACTCATCAATCAAATGAAGGAGGCAATTTTGGGTATGGAATACATATATTTATGAAAAAAATGAATAAAAACTGTATAAAGCAGTTATATACGATATATTTCTCTTACATGTGATAAAAACATCTCCCAGTTTAGCATAGGAGTGTCAATTGAAAAGTTACACTACATCCTATACATATATTCATATAAATGAATAGAAATGACATGCTTTTGAGATCCATTCCGAAAAAAGTCTTCCATAGAATTGGTGTGTGTCCCTGCAGTGCTATCCTGTCAACGAATCCTTTCTGTAGGGAGGTATCATATAAACCAGTCACACAAACACTATTCGCTTGTTTTCGACCATGGTTATATTTTTTCTTTAATAAGGTACTTTTATCCACATGTATGACGACGCTTTCTCCTTCCAATAACCAAGTAAGCCTCTCCATCTTCCAGGATGTGATATATTCATGCAATGTTGGTACTACTGAACTGTTGATACGAGAGACTATTTTCAGTTTTATCAGTTGCACCTCTCACAGGCTGTTTTAAAACCCAGTAATTACAAATATACAAAATCTGGGTTAAGGACAAATGGGACTTGGCTAAAAATGTTCCTACGAAATATTAGACTCATTAGCTTACCATCCCAGACACTGACTCGTCTCAAAAAAATTGCACAACGATGTACCTATCCATCAACCGATCTACTGAAGCTTTCTATATTCATGACACCACCACATGAACAAATCTTTTCTTTCTTAATCAACCCAACAACCTAATAATACCGGAAAACTTTATCCTGACCAAATTGCAAGCGCAACTGCGTTAGAGCAGGTATCTGACACGAATTAAGCGGAATTGAAGCTTCAACTCACGTGAGTGAAACTCATTGGACTTATTCAAGGTCAATGGTGCAATCGTACTCCATTGGTAGTAAGTGGTGCTTAAAGTTTAACTTAGCCAGTAAGTGATTAGCAGTAGATGTAGAATCAAAGCAACATTACGAAGAGGAGATTTAAATTATTTCCTGCTGTCACACATAAAAATTACTTCATAAACTTTACGTAGAATTGTAATCACATTATGTAATCTATTATCACCAATCGAATTGACTAACTCTCATGAAAATAAACATTGTCATCTAAAGAGTTTTCTATAGCCTAGTAAACAAATTAAGTCTGTCTTTATCAAATTCCCTACAATAAGTGAGAAGGAAATACAAAGTAGTCGGTACAAGGTATTTATATTGGCTAGAAAACAATTCTAAAATTGCATCTTCTAATACGATAAGGTTTACAAATAAGCTAAATCATAGCAATGCATGCAATCACGCAATAAAAAAGGAACAATGGGAAGGATATAGAAAAAAATTGAGCATAAGGACGGATTGAAAACGAAATTATTACAAATTGACAATAACCCGAGATAATTTTTGTCAATTAACACTGTATATGCAAATCCTCTAAATAATTATGCAGTGTAGTTACGAAACAAGATCGCTTTGCTGATTTACGTGTTCTTAATTTACAAGGTGTTACTACTCCTGGCATAAAGGGGCTCCAACTTATGCATTCTCCTTTAATATGATTATCACCAATAAATGTTGCTTGAATAATTATTCAAGAAATAATATCAAGTATTGGCTTGTAGGGATTTGATTGATTGGTTACAGGATTTCATCATGAGCTGACATTGGTTAGAAAACCATTGGAAAACATGGAAGTACTGGACAGCTGTTTCGTTCTAGTTTTTGACTCTTGATTTTATTGTTTGACAGTATCTTACATACAGGATATAACATGGTTTTGTGTACGATTACAATCGTCCACTTCTTCTCTTACACATCAGTATTTATTTCATTGAAACGCTCTAACAGTTAAAAAATTAACGGTCTTTACAGTCGTTTGATGTTAAAGGTCTTAACTTCTGGAAAACACTTACATATGTAGGTGAACAATTTAACCTTGTTACAATGTCTATTGTAACCTTAAAATGAAAATCAAACGGTTTCATATAAGTAGGTCAATGATACAAAAAGAAATAATAACATTGACTTAAGGATAGAATATAACACGTTTGGAGTTATATTATGTCAACCTTTTTTTTCCTTTTTGTCCTTCCTATATACTATTATGACGCATCGTAACGTTTTTAAAAATGTATGCATATGCAGTTTCAGTCTTGGTAACTATGAAGTTCCTGAGAAGTCGAAATAAAGAGGAACCTATATCATTACATCTATAATAAAATAAAAGTTTTAACACTTAGCTAGGCAACTATTCAAAAGCTTTTAAACAGTTACATAAAATGCCTTGATAAGCGCGAATATACTTCTTCTCAATAGTCACTTCGTAGTCAGGCATTACAACAATGTCTCTAAGTCAATGCATTTCAGTGTCACCTTTTGGCGGCGTTTAGGAAATATCAAAGAGTTAAGCTATGATCAGACTAACGACAATCGGGTATAACATCTGTTTGGTTCTTTTTACAACTCACTTTCCGGATCTCTACTTACTCTTCATATGATTAAAAATACTTAGATCTTAACCATTGTATTAGGAAAGCTGATACCAACTTTGTTATCCTGAAAATAGTTGTCCTTCTTATAAGCTAGGGTCTGTCTGTCTGTCTGTTTTCGACATAGAACTTTGCACAAATGTGCGGAAGTTCAAGTCGCCACACTCCCTCCTTGTAGCACACAAAGCAAGAGAAGAAAGTACAAGAAAAGCATAATAGAAACAGTGAGCAGAGGTGTGAGACAAAGGAGTAATAACGAAGGACAAAACAGTTTCATTGAAGATCATAAGTCACAAGGAGTGGATGCATCTGCGCCACTGAAAACGATTTTGAGCCATGTCACCAATTGTTTCCAACCATAGATTTTTACCGTCCCGAGGACCCCAGCCTGGAAGTCTACACCTTCCTACGTGGCTTAGACCAACTGTTGTGGATTTCATTGACTGGTGCCAAGTTTTTGTTTGACCTCCGCTAGCTTTTTTCCAGCCTGACCCTATATCCGCTAACATTGCTCGTCGAGGAAGGCGATGACTAGGAATACGTAGCACTTGTCCTAACCACCTCAGTCTTTGTAACTTCACAACCTCGTCGATTGATTTCCCCTGTTTACCTAGAACTCGACGCCTAACCTCAATATTACTCACCTTATTATACCACTTCACACGGGAGATAGAACGCAGGCACCTATGATCAAAGACAGCTAATCTTTTCATGTCTTCCACTCTCCCGACCGAAAGCTTCTACCTTGATGTGGTGGTCGGGCTTGAGCACCGCAATGTCCCAACAAGCTACACTGGCTGAGACTTATGTCTCTTGAGGTCCTACCATGCCAGAAAGGTTATCTGGATAGCGGTTAGACGAAAAGCAGCTACCCAATCCAACACCATGATACACACAAACTCACAAAATATCATGCCGGATCGGCCGTGGCCCGGATTAACAACGACCGCGCTTCCTGCTGCCGTGTCACAGGGTAGGAGTGATATATATTTTACTGAGACACACCAAACAATAAAGAAGTAACAAAAATAGGCCACGTGTGACCGGCCTCAAGCAGTTGTTCCCTGGGCTCTGAGGTCACGCAACCAACTTCCACGGTGTGGGCAGCCGGGAAGTAACAATCGCCCTCACAATCCGAAATAAGCTAGGGTAATCTACAATCTACACCAGTCTGACGGAATAATCCTGTATATTCATACTCGATAATTCTCTGCCACTATCTATAAAAACGCATCTAGAGTTTCATGTTTCCGATATTTATGGTTTCAAATTAAGGTTATCTCTGAATTCTATCAGTTATCCTAGTGATTACATCGTGCACGTGACTGCTCAACAGATCAGATATGGAAGTACATGATTACGTTATCTATCATACAACGATCAATTCAGATACAATAAACTATTTCAAACGATTTAACATACACTCGTCATAAATGACTGTATTTTATCTACAACAGAGACTCAGAGAGGTTTCGCGTGCGTTTCGGATTGTGAGGGCGATTGTTACTTCCCGGCTGCCCACACCGTGGAAGTTGGTTGCGTGACCTCAGAGCCCAGGGAGCAACTGCTTGAGGCCGGTCACACGTGGCCTATTTTTGTTTCTTCTTTATTGTTTGGTGTGTCTCAGTAAAATATATATCACTCCTACCCTGTGACACGGCAGCAGGAAGCGCGGTCGTTGTTAATCCGGGCCACGGCCGATCCGGCATGATATTTTGTGAGTTTGTGTGTATCATGGTGTTGGATTGGGTAGCTGCTTTTCGTCTAACCGCTATCCAGATAACCTTTCTGGCATGGTAGGACCTCAAGAGACATAAGTCTCAGCCAGTGTAGCTTGTTGGGACATTGCGGTGCTCAAGCCCAACCACCACATCAAGGTAGCAGCTTTCGGTCGGGAACAGAGATTCAACCACTAGAAGTGAAAAGAAGTGAAAATCCGTCAGGAAGTATTATTTGTATTCAAAACGACAATTTGCCTTATAGGCGTGTTGGTGATAGTGAACCTACTGTGCACGTAATCATCGTCTGTAAAGTGCTTATAAAGTTTGAATAATTCATACAATACTGAAGTTTAGTTTCTCTAAAAAACTAGAGTGTCTTGTAGTTTATCAACAGAGATTCAACCACCAAATAAACTACAAGACACCCTAGTTTTTTAGAGAAACTAAACTTCAGTATTGTATGAATTATTCAAACTTTATAAGCACTTTACAGACGATGATTACGTGCACAGTAGGTTCACTATCACCAACACGCCTATAAGGCAAATTGTCGTTTTGAATACAAATAATACTTTCTAACGGATTTTCACTTCTTTTTTTCAACTCTCAATAATACTAGACCACGATTGTTACAAGAGAAAAACAAAATTATTGAACAAGAGCTAGTAGTTAATTGAAAACAACTTGGACAATAAATATTTAGCCTGTACATGTAACTATTTAAAGAGAATGTAAGTAGTATAGTCGATTATGCAAGCAAAAACATTTGTTCGAATCAATAGAGTAAATTTCTATTAATTCCTAACCAAAATCGAAACCACTAATCGTTTCCCTAGCGACATTCTAACATCTCTCTCTCCAAAGTCATAGAAAATGCAAGATGGTTATATAGGCTACCTGTAAATATAGTGGAGATTCGCCAATCATCAGCGTATTACAGTAAAATTAGATCTGTCTGTCTGTCTGTTTTCGACATAGAACTTTGCACAAATGTGCGCCAGTTCAAGTCGCCACATTCCGTGTAGCACGCGAAGCAAGAGAAGAAAGTGCAAGAAAAGCATAATAGAAACAGTGAGCAGAGGTGTGAGACAAAGGAGGAGTAATAACGAAGAACAAAAGAGTTTCATTGAAGATCATAAGTCACAGGGAGTGGATGCATCTGCGCCAGTAAAATTAGATATCATAACCAACTCATTATCTAGGTAGTTGGAGGCAATCGGCATAAAGCCTTGGACCAAGGTATCGTGCTGGTTAGCACTCGTCATCAAGGTGTGTCTGCAAACACGGCTGATATAATTCAGTCTGCACCAAACAATGGACTAGACACACTACACTGGTTACTAAATAATGTCCAATAGAGTCCTACAGGAAGTCAATCGCGAGCCCGAATAGCTCAGTGGTAATGCCTCTGACTGCATCACTGGGTGACGCGAGTTCGAATTTCAGATAGGACATTAGTTCCTCCAAGGTTGCAGATACGACTCGCTGACTGGTGAGTGCCAACTAGCACGAAACCTAGTTGGAAGGCTTCCTGCAGGTTACGGCTACAGAACACATTCCGAAGTGGCTGCAACAACAAATAAAATCGTCAGACACAATTGATCCCGGAAATAGATGTCCAACATCATCTACAGTGAAGCACATTATAGAGACGGGTCATAAGGTTGATTTCAACAATGGCTTAAGCCCATATATAAAACGAGATTACGTCACATACTTAAATTCGTTAACGCCTTGGCCATTTATAGACTTAAACCTGTCTTATGTGTCCAAAAGTTATTTGTTATTACTTTAAACCTACCTTGGTAATCTAATTTAGAAGCAAGGATCAATTTACTTCATAATATTTTCAACCCCTTCTTTGCTTTGTTTTCTCTCGCCTTATTATCTATCTTACTCAAACCTTTGCATCATCTCCCTACCCAATATTTGAGACCTTGACCTGTATGCAATCTGAACTGTATTGTAATTATTCATGCCATCTTGACCTCTATAAAACTGCGTATGACAAGTACATGTGTGATCAGAAATGTGTTGCGCAAATACACTACACATTTTAGATAAACTACGTCTTGTTAGCGCTATTACGTCATTTACATGGTTTGGGCAAATGAAATTAAACAAATTCTTTGTAAATTAACAAGCAAAATGATTTTTAGACAAACAAACATGAAATCGACTAATGACTTTCAATGTGTTACCTTTACCAAATTTCTTCTCAATTTACTAAAATTGGAAGTAGTTAGTTGTTGGAGTAATTTATATGCAGAGGCATACATTGAAACAGATAATGGTTTACTTTCCAGCGAAGACAATGAAGGAAAAAGACAATATTACCATCTAAAGTTAGATAAAGAATTGACTCCAGTTAGTGGACTACTAGAAATCAAGATCTTGGACAGCTGTTTCATCCTAGCTTTTAGGACTCTTCACCAGTAAGCACCAAAAACTAGGACGAAATAGCTGTCCAGTACCCTCTGATTTTCAATGGTTCTCCGATCAATATCTTGGCGGCGTGCGCGTCAACTTGGGCTACCAGAAAATTCCCATCAATATATTGCATGTAATTTCTCTTATTCAGTTTGTTTAAATCTAGTAAAATATGACTTCTAACAGTATTGTTTATTGTGGTGAGTATTTAAAACATTTACAGCCTGCTGATTCACAAGTTTCTACTAAACATGTGATAAAGCATTAACCCCGATGGCAGCTCCTCCTAATGCATGAGATGACCGTCCCTGGTTTACAAAATGTACTCCTGAACCTTCTATAATTGGCATTCAGGCAAATACCGTGTATTTCTTGATGGAGAAAAAGAAGAGACACCATAATGGATTGGTTTGTGCCTCAGGTCAGATAGAACTGTGTCACACGATTTACTGTCCATCAAATCTTTTATTTGAAGATCACGAACGAAGAGAAAATATCATGCAATAATCTCCAATGAAAATTCTGTACATGGCATAAACACTGTTTAGAAGAAAGCTATTATTATTATTATTATTAAAAGCCAACTCTTGAAAATTAATCTAATGCTCACAAGTGACTGACTATAGAATGACGTGACCTAGAGTTCTAGTTAGAAGTCGTGATCAAGTTGGGTGTGAGGTCAAATACTCATCTATGACATTAGCTGGCGGTTGACCTATATATCACAAACTGGGAGAAGTTACAATGCATGGGCCATTGTATTCCATTCCAATGACTGAATGACCAACGGGCTCACCTGGTAGCCTGAAGATCCTAGGTGGGTAGCTATGGGTGCATACTGCTAAAGAGTTCCAAGCCATAAGAAAACAGCTATTTAGAACTCGTTGACTTCTGATGGCTATTTAATTGAAATCAGCTTGTGCTATAACTTGAAACCAATCGAATTCCTGCAAACCAACACTTGAAAGTATTGCCATTGTCAGTATTCATACATACACAAACTAGATAATAATGGTCTATTCGGATTGTGAAGATTCGGATCAATTTAATTCCAACCGTTAAATTTGGACACGAACCAAGGTCATTTACATCCAGGAAGCACTGTATAGCTGTTTCGTCTCATACTTCGCAACTCTTCAGAAGTCCCCACTCATGACCTCACCAGCGTTCGAATCAGGAACCATTCAGTCACTTGAGTAGGAATTCAATAACCAACTTTATCAATTCGTGATATAACGTTACACCACTGCTCGCGACTTCTTTTCATAAATCCAGTAATGTGAATATCAATCGCCAGCACAATGTTGACTACTGAATGGATGTCCTGAAGTTGTAGTCAGTGGAATTTATTGTGTCAAGGTGAAAAGGATTATCATAGAAGGCGTTGGTGAGGGTAGCTCTATGCCATGAATTGACATAATTAGAATTTGTTCGTTCTTTGTTGTTTTGTGTGCCTCAGTAGCATACTTATCACTCCCGCCCTGTGACACGGCAGCAGGAAGCGCGGTCGTTGTTAACCCGGGCCACGGCCGATCCGGCATGAAATTTTGTGAATTTGTTTGGATCATGGTATTGGATGAGGTAGCTGCTTTTTGTTTAACCGCTATCCAAACAACCTGCCTGGCATGGTAGAACCTCAAGAGACATAAGTCTCAGCCAGTATAGCTTGATTAGGTCATTGCGGTGTTCAAGCCCGACCACCACGTCAAGGTAGCAGCTTTTACGGATCTAAATGCCTGAATGGTTAGTGAGCTTTCTCTCACAACTTGAAGGTTCCAGGATTGATCCCCTCATGGGGTCACACTGCTGAAGAGTTCCAAAACAGCTATCCAGTACTCTCTAGTTCTCAATGACACCTCTAAATGATGTTAGTTCATGATAAAATCAAACAACTAAAATTAAACTAATAGTCTAGGCTTCCTATGCATTAACACAGTAAAAGTGGAGTAAATAGACAATAAAAATAAGCAGAAACAGTATAACAATTCTGAATAGCTTACTTCTTCATTCACTGATGACGATGGTGGTGATGATGATACTCTGGGTGATAATTTAACTGGTCCCATCAGAGCAGCATGCAGATAATTCTCCATTTGTAATTTACTTTGTTCACAAGCTGATTGCATAATAAATGTATCAACAGTAGTTATTTCTTCCTTACAATTAGTATTTATCATTTGATGATGATGATGACTTAAATGTACTGGATTAATTCTTTTTAAAGCTTCTGAATAGGATATGAATGCAGCAGAAAATAAACAGCTAATCATAAATAAAGTATCATTAAGACACCGATGATCCAATGGATTTTTAATGATATCACAAGAAGAACAATATGGACAAACAAATTTTTCTGTAGACAATAATTCATTCGTCAATGAGTGTATATGTGTATATGCGTCTGGAACTAAGTGTTCTAAAATATACAAAAACAAAAAAAAACAAGTCAATAAAAGACTGATCAATTAAAAGCACAATTATTGAATTTAAGAAGTCTAATTATCAACATGCATTTATACTTCCTTTCTTGATTGTTATTAGTTTATAGAACTGAGATCATAATTTGTGATCTAACTGTCCCTGTGGAGACAGTTAGTTGCATGGGCCGAAAAGTTAGGCGTGTTTCTCGTCGGATTTCCGAACATCATCCCGCATCGTGGTTAAGTAAAGGACAAACAAAATCCATTCATAGAGCTATTCTATCTCATCTTCTGGATATAGAACACAAGATTGATGTTAACGAGGCGGCTTTCAAAGTCATTTACCGCATACCAACTAGTCTTAACTTCAGAGTTCGTTTACTACATATTGTCGAGGCTGGCTGTTAGGATCCACATTAAGAAACCTGCCTTATGTATCCAAAAGAAGTTGGTTGGTTCAGACACTGTCCTTACCTTGAGTACCAAGGTTTTAATGACCCTCAATTTGTTGTGGAAATTTCCTTAATTTTATTTGATATTCTATTTGCTATTGTATTTCCATGCATATTTCGTAAACTGTAATTCCATTGATATCTTACTTAACAAATCGATAGTATTTAAAAACACCAATATTGTTAATGAGCTTAGCAACTTCCGAAATACATTGTCAGCTAAAGTGCAATTAGGCGTGAACACAGTTAACAATGATTAGATCAGCGCCTAGATTTACTGACTTCTGTCCTACGCCAGTAAGCAAGGTGTCAGTTGCAAGGGCGAAGATCCGCAAGATAAATGGAGAACAGATGAAGTCATCTTATCTTTTCTTCATTCTTTTTATGGAGTTTTTATGACTTCTGAATACTTAATTTTCATTCCTACGTCTTCCCTCTTATCACTAAGTTTATTTGGACGTCTGAAATGTTACAATTCCACGTATTAGGTTGATTATGTCTACTTGTTCTTTTTGGCTGTAATGTGAATAACAATCCTATAACTAAATACAAAATGATAATATTACCTAGGAAATAAATATCCATAGCTTGAAATGTCTGGTAGATAACTGATGTACTCGAGTTCTAATTGAAACAAACAGTGAATGAATTCAGCTAACAATTCCTAAAAGACAAAAATATATACACTATAACTAACTGTAGTCAGACAACACTAATCTGTCTGTCTGTCTGGATTCAACATAGAACTTGGCACCGAAGTGCAGCAGTTCGAGTTGCCACGTTCCAAATAGCACACAGAGGTGCAACCAATACTCAGTAGCTGGATAAAATAACTTATACCTCGAGTGTCTAAACAACATCGTCTTACTGTGCGATAGCATGCGGGCTATCCAGATCTCACTTAATCAGTGTCTGTAAATATGGTGTGCGCTTTACGCCGTTTAAGTGGGAAGTACTGTCACAGCATTGGCAGGAGCCTAAACGTGCACTCACCCTTGCATGTGAACCGCTTGAAGTTGTCGACAAGTTCGTGTACCTGGGACGTTGTATGGACGTTGGTGAGGCTATGACGGACGAGATTCCTAACTAATAATTGAGAGCTAAGGTAGCACACACCAATTTGAGCCACCTCCGGAGCTGTCGCGACGTCACCCTGACTGTCAAAGGTCGGGTTTACAAAGACTCGGTGCGCTAAGTCTTGCTCTACGCCCAAGAAACTTGGCCTCTCCGAGCTGAGAATGTGAGGCGAATCTGCATGTTTGACCATCACTGTCTTAGTAGAATTGCTTGCGTTCGATGGTATCATCGTGCGCGTAGTTCGGAGTTTCAGATGTGTGTGTTTAGACAGTAGCGGTCAACATTCATTGAGTATCGTCATCTGGAAACAACGGATTCGGTAGCTTGGACATGTGCTACGAATGTCATCCCAGAGGCTATCATACCGTTCTCTGTTCACTAACCCTGGGACCCCGACCGAAAGCTGCTACCTTGACGTGGTGGTCGGGCTTGAACACCGCAATGACCTAATCAAGCTATACTGGCTGAGACTTATGTCTCTTGAGGTTCTACCATGCCAGGCAGGTTGTTTGGATAGCGGTTAAACAAAAAGCAGCTACCTCATCCAATACCATGATCCAAACAAATTCACAAAATTTCATGCCGGATCGGCCGTGGCCCGGATTAACAACGACCGCGCTTCCTGCTGCCGTGTCACAGGGCGGGAGTGATAAGTATGCTACTGAGGCACACCAAACAAAAAGAACAAACAAAAACAGGCCGCGTGTGACCGGCCTCAAGCAGTTGTCCCCTGGGCTCTGCGGTCACGCAACCAACTTCCACGGTGTGGGCAGCCGGGAAGTAACAATCGCCCTCACAATCCGAAATGCACACAAAACCTCTCTAATCCTCACTTATCTTTGTCTTCATCTTCATCTCTATTACCTTGCCTTCCTTCCACTGATGCAACTCCTCTACTTGATGGCTCCTCACTCCCTCTTCACTCTGTGTCCACTAAAAACGACGAAAGCCAAAAAACCACCACGGATAGTCTCCTAAAGCCACGCCACCAATTTCATATAGGAGCATTTAATGTTAGGACACTTTGCCAAATAGGACAACAAGCATCACTAGCTAAGACCCTGGCATCTCGAGCCATTGATGTATGTTGTGTTTCAGAAACACGCATACAAGACCCAAGTGTGGTTATTCACCTAACCCCACCTGGCCAACAGGATGAATCTTCAAAATTCACCTTGAGGGTGTCAGGAGATGCCACAGCTAGTTCACGAGGATTAGCTGGCGTAGGGATAGCTCTGAGTACTAGGGCAGAAAAGACATTGCTTGACTGGATCCCGGTAGATAGCCGAATGTGTGCTGTCCGTCTGAACGGATCAGTAAGAAGGAGAAAGGACTGCACTACTCGCCGATGCCTTTTCGTAATCTCCGCCTACGCCCCCACTGACTGCAGTTCGGATGAAACGAAGGATGAGTTCTACCAAAAGCTGTCTAGTTTGGTGAGAAAGGCTAAACGCTCAGATATAGTCGTTCTAGCTGGTGACTTTAACGCTCAAGTAGGGAAATTGTGTCAATCTGAGAAGGATGTCGGTGGCACCTATGGAGTTCCGTGCCAGCGAACCGACAACGGTGACCGTCTCCTACAGTTCTGTTCAGATAATCATTTGTTTCTTGTAAGCACTAACTTTAAACACAAGGAGAGACACTGTTTAACCTGGCGACCCCCATCATCAAACCAACGCTGGACACAAATAGACCACATAGCAATAAGCTATCGTTGGCGTGGGTCGGTAGGAGATTGTCGCTCCTTCTGGAACACGTGTGTAGATACCGATCACGCACTGGTCCGGGCTCGTGTGTGCTTACGACTGAACGGACGTAGGAAACAGCTGGCGGTAAAACCATCACGTCCCCAGCTCGATCAGGAAACTAAATCCCTATTTGAGGAAGAACTAGCTAAACGCATATCTGAATTCGACAGCTGTGCTCACCCTGGAGAAGCCTGGAAGAATATTCAGTCAGCTATAGATACAGCTGTAAAAGCTGTGAATAAGGCAAATCCAAAGGTGAGTAAAAACCACTGGATTTCGACTGCCTCATCCGAACTGATAGATGCTAGAAGACTTATTCCGGCGAGCTCCGAATTCAATGAGGAGCGAAAGCTGCACAAAAGGAAACTTACTAAAAGTCTCCGCAAGGACCGTGAACAGTGGTGGGTGACAAAGGCGAAAGAGATGGAAAAAGCATCGGCGATAGGCAACACTAGGCAACTCTTTAGACTCATCACAGAATCGGGTGGGAGAAGGCAATTCATAAGTGAGACTATTTCTGAGAAAAATGGCTCCTTAATTAGCTCTCAGGATAGACGCCTTGAACGCTGGAAAGAACACTTTGAGGAACAATTTAACTTGCCTACAGCCACACTGAACCTCCCCGCCATCCACCACACCCGAATGGGATATAGACACTGGTCCGCCGTCTGTAGGTGAGGTTACAAAAGCTATCAGTAATTTGAAACGAGGCAAAGCGGCAGGACCCGACGGAATTATTCCGGAGGTGTTTAAATATGGGGGTGACATACTAGTTTGTAGATTAACTGAGGTACTAGGCAAAGTCTGGGAATCAGAGACAGTACCATCAGACTGGGGTAAGTCACTTATTATACCGATATTCAAGAAGGGAAACAAGTCCTCGTGTGATAATCATAGGGGGATCAGCCTAACGAACATAGTCTCTAAAATCCTAGGCTCAGTAATCATGCATAGACTAAGCAGAACTCGGGAGGAACAGACAAGGGAAAATCAAGCAGGCTTTAGACCAGGTAGAGGGTGCATAGATCATATCTTCACTCTTCGACAGATTCTAGAACATAGACACACTTTTCGGCGTCCAACAATTGTCATATTTCTTGACTTGAAGGCGGCCTTCGACTCCGTGGATCGAAAGGTACTATGGCAATGTCTGACTGTGAAGGGAGTGCCAAGAAAGTACATTGCACTAATCAAGGCACTCTATTCAAACTCACGTAGTCGTGTAAGGGCTTATGGGGAATTGTCATCTGAATTGGTAACAACCAGTGGTGTCCGACAGGGATGTCCACTTTCCCCATTTCTGTTTAACTTCATCATAGATATGCTAATGGAAGTATCCTTAACTGAACGTAGTGACTTAGGAATCGACTTGTTACCAGGGAATAATCTAATGGACTTAGAATATGCAGATGACATAGTCCTGTTAGGGGAGGATGCTGACAAAATGCAGAGTCTTCTGAACACCTTGAGCAGCAATCTTCGTATGTTTGGCATGCGATTCGCCCCTGCAAAATGTAAGATGCTGCTACAGGACTGGACCCCGTCAACCCTAACTTAGTGATAGGGAGTGAAGTGATAGAACATGTTGACCACTTCACCTACTTGGGAAGTTGTATTAGCACCAACGGACTGATTGGCGATGAAATCTCAGCACGGATCCGAAAAGCTCGAGCTGCTTTCGCTGACTTACACCATCTCTGGCGTAGGCGTGACATCCGGTTATCAACCAAGGGACGTGTGTACTGCTCATCAGTTCGCTCCGTCCTTCTCTATGGCTCTGAAACATGGCCAATACGCGTTGAAGACATGAAAAGGTTGACTGCTTTCGATCATAGATGTCTGCGATCTCTGTCTCACGTTAGGTGGTTTCACAAGATAAGTAATGTTGACGTTAGGCGTAGAGTGTTGGGCAAAGAGGGAAAATCAATCGACGAGGCTATAAAGTTACATAGACTAAGATGGCTAGGTCACGTGCTGCGCATGCCTAACCACCGCCTCCCCCGACGGGCATTGCTAGCTGATATAGGTTCAGGTTGGAAAAGAGCCAGTGGTGGCCAAACAAAAACATGGCATCAATCCATGAAATCCTTGACAGTTAAACTGAGTCAGGTAGGGAGATGCAGACTCCCGGGTTGGGGCCCTCGGGACTCTAGGAATCAATGGCTGGAGACAATAGGTGACATGGCTCAAAATCGTTGTCAATGGCGCAGATGTATTCAGTCTCTGTAATCTTTCATATTCCTTTCTACCATTACCCATTCTGTTTCACTCTTATATTTGTCAAACTCTATTGATTCTCTTCACTCATCTTCTTGTCTACCTCTGTGTGCTATTTGGAACGTGGCAACTCGAACTGCTGCACTTCGGTGCCAAGTTCTATGTTGAATCCAGACAGACAGACAGACAGACCCTGGGACAAGATGGAAAAAGGATACAGGTGGTCAGTCTATGACATGACATCGTGGGGTGACTGCCTAGTTGAGGTCCGAGAGGTAGCTCAAATCGACGACTCGAAACGATATGGCCAAAAATCGCAATCAGTGGTAAAAATACTGCAATCTCCTTCTTTTTCTTCCTTCCTGACAGTAATACGACGAATATTGTTTAATCTTGTGAAATATATTTACTTCCTTTCCGGATGAAATCCTGTTTTGTGTGCTACATGGAGTGTGGCGACTTGAACTGTCGCACATACGTGCAAAGTTCTATGTCGAAAACAGACAGACAGATGAAATCCTGTACTCATTCATTTCCTATATTGTTCATATATACTGTTTTGCTATTATTGTGCGGTGCATCTTCTTGGTGTCTGTATTGTCCTACCAGGGTCTGTGTTTTTGAAATTAATAAATAGTAAAATAACTTATACACCAAAGTGAACTGACTCAACTTACTTAATTCAAAAATTATCATTAGCAGAAAAAAAAACTGAAATCTCAATGTGTTAGTTTACCAATCAATACTAAGCTCGGAAAAAAACGGAAGGGGCAGCCAGTGGGACTAGATCATCCTACTTGGGAAAATCAATCGAATCGCTACAAAAACTTTAAAGCATAGAGGGGTGTAGGCGGGAATATACAATAACGATACTAAGCGTAGAATTCATTATAAACTTACCAAGAAGTATTAAAGCAGGTAGAGTATAACGAAATATCATTTTTAAAGATTCAATAACAGAGATATTTAACACTGTATCAGCATTATGCATTTGTTGATAAACTGTAAACCATAATTCTTCTGATTTGCCAATATAAGATTTTAATATTGTTAATGGTAAAGAAAAAGTTTGTGATTCATTTGTTCTGTTATCATTATTGTTATTATCTGGTGTATCGTTAATGTTAGCATCACTGTTCTTATCATGAACACTGTTATTTAGGCGATGATGACTACTTGAAGATGAATATGGTGTAAGCATTTTATCCTGATCATCTGTATTGGTCAGACAAGAGTGTTTATAAGGCAAATTTTGACCACAAGCACCAAGAATCTGTGAAATATATACACGTACACATGAAGAATAGCGAAGAGAATAAATGAACGGTGAATACAGTTAAAATATAAAAAAAACTCTAAATTGTCAAAATTATGGTGGGAAGCCGTGACCAGTAGGGTAAAACACGTTGAAGATGAGGCAGTAACTCTTCGAAGAAGACATTGCGAAATGGTCGCGCTATGTCGTGAACTGACAGAAGTTAGAAATCATGGGCCATTGGATCTGATCTCAGTGGCTCAATGGTCTACGACCTCACTAGCCTTGTAACCAGAAGGTCGTGGATTCGAACCCTGTCGGTGGGTGCGTACTGATGAAGAGTCCCAAATTAAGATGAAACAGCTGTCCAGTACTCCCAGGTTTTGCAGTAATTCTCTAACTGACGCCAGCTCATGATGGAATCCTCCATCCAATCAAAATTCCTATACACACGTGCATTATTCCGACCTTATAACTAAGTCATGCTATGCAAGATAAGTGTACAAAACAATGGAACCCGACTAAAACTTATTCACAGTCCTTCAAACTACACACAGAGTATCTTTATCCTGAAAGTCAAACTTTTTTCAAGAAATGCTTGTAATTTTATCTGGTAGTGGAATCTAAGACATGCGTTCGGTTCTATTTGGAACTCACTAGTTAGGTATACCTCTATCCTCAGTGAGTGACTGTTGTAAATGAATCCTTGATCCACTACCCATTGTTTCAGAAGCCAAAGTGCAACAGATATCAGTTGGCATTTGTGTTTCTCGTTGATTTATCTTTAGTAGACGGAAATGCCTGTTTTCTGTTGAAACTGCTAGTCAACATCAATAAGCTAACATCATAGTAACTTTGAGGAATCATCGAAGCATTCATATACTGGGGAGCCGAAATTTCAACACAATCCGAGTATTTCGGTCCAGTAAAAATAAATCAACGGGAATACAGAAGAACTTCCGCAAATTAACTGACAGTCAGTATTTGATATTTAAAGCTGTTCTCACTAAATATTTTCATTGTGGCTCATTAATCATACAGTGGATAAAACGAAACTAGATTCCTAAACCTTGCACCGTTTACATGATTTCTGCGAACACATGATCTCAGTTTATTAATAATTCTTGAAGTACTTGAATTTACGGAAAGATAAGGATAAGATGCTTCTCCATTGGTACAACAGAAGAATCCTGTTCAATACAACGCTACCATGGGTGTAGACTCACAATCAACCAATCAATCAATCAAGAGACGTTTTACAGCAAATTGAATAAAACAGACTAATCACATGAAACAAAATATAACATTTGATCAAGGTAAAAACTCAAAATACTTTTTATCACTAAGTGACATCAGTAACAGAACCACTGAAAACCAAGGAGCACTAGCCAGTTATCTCTGCTGAAATCGAAACTCTTTAGTAGCACCAATCTATAATCGAATCTCGAGCAAAATCAAAAAAGTCCAACTCATGAAGTATGTTACTGCCTATCGATTAGGTTAGAAATCTAATGAAGCCTGTTTTCCAACTCTTGAATGTTCACGATATAAAGCAGGAGTAATTGAGCTCGAGATAAACTAGTCATCACACAAACCATACCTGCTGAAATAGATGAGCTGACTCCCGTGGCCAGGTGGATAACTCCTTGGCGTTCAAGTATCCGTGGGGACACTATCACACTAGGATACAAGTACATCCGGCTGACAAATCTTGAGGAGGAGGAAATGAGCATCCTATCACCATTAACCAAATATAACACTATATTTAACTTCCTGCATAGTCGAAGCCTCCATACTAGGAGCCAACACTGTCAACAGAGACCAAGTATTTCGGCTTGACTAAATCAATCAACAGGAAATGTAAACATACTTAAACAACAACAATAATAACAATTCAAGTGTTGGTTTGTAGGGATTTGATTGGTTTCAGGATTTTCATCATGAGCTGACATTAGTTAGAGAACCATTGGTTCTCTAACTAATGTCAGCTCATGATGAAAATAATAACAATACTTTTAATAAATAAAACAAGAAAAGTCAAGAAACTTACAGAAATGGCCAACTGAGAAAGCTGAGATGTGTTTGACTTCCTGAATGCATCTATAATCATTGAGCCTAAGTAACCACGATTAGAATTGACTGGGACCAATGATGATGATGATGGTGATGATGATGAGATATTTCCTCCAGTTTCATCAGATAAAGTGAATGCATTCAAGTCAGACGAATCTATACATCTTCCAAACTGTTCAATATCAACGCTAACTGTCTGTAAATATAAAACAATGTGAAGTGAATGATTATAAAAATAAAAATAATAGAATATAACAAGATAAAGGAACGTGTCATATAATATCTATTCCAAATAATATTTGATATTTAATAGAACTACACAGTTACAATCAATCAGTCCGAATCCTTTAACATTTCTTTTGTTCACATATATAGGAGAGAGGTACACAACATTGTTAAAAGGTGCACTATTTTCACTTATCATACTTTTTGATATGAAAAGAACAATAACAAAGTGACTTTAAAACAAACATTACTAAGAAGGATTGAAGTAATGAATAACAAAATCTGGGAGTGTTTAGGGATTTCAATAATAACATCTGCGCATCCGTGGCACAAAGTTTAGGACGCTCGCCGACCATGCACATAGTCTGGGGTTCGATCCATGGCCGACGCCCACCTGATATCGATGGTCGGCCGGCTAAATTTGACCTACTTGTATCACATACCGAAATTCCATACTTGTACCAAAATACTATGTGGAATCAAGTTATAATGAAAATAAAAGTGACGTGATATTCGGCTGTCAATCAAAAAAACGTATATACTGAGCAGCAGTCCGCCTTGTCCTACCTTGTGACTGTGAGATATAACCATTGAAAATGGAAGATATGAAGAGGTTAGCTGTTTCTGACAAGAGGTATTTGCATCTTATCTTCTATGTTAAGTGGAGAGCAACAATGAAGTTAGGCTTTGATTGTTAGGTTAGGAGTGTAAGTCAACTGATGTGGTTATTAAATTTGACACAAAGTTTATTAGAGTCAGTATTACAAGTAATTGACAAAAACATCGATCGCGTTCCGAGTGCATCATAGGACTTTAATCTTTGATGTTTCAATAGGGGTGTTGTTTTTTACAAGATGGGATTCTAGCCATACACCCGACCTTATCCCTAGTAAAGTAGGCGAGGTTTAGGATTGCATCAGCCACGGATCCTACCTAGACCTCACACATGACCGGTGTCTCTCCTACCATTGAATCACCGACACCTTAAACTTAACAATTACCTGAATGAGTACGAATGGTGAGAAGTTCGGTGATTAAATCGAGGCTAAGTAATTAAAAGCTAATAGTACTATTTGAAAATTTTCGTTTCATTTTAATTCAGTCAAACGTAGTAAGAAATATGCAACGGTTCAATGATAAAACAAATCAGAACATAATAAAATGTTACAATATTCGATTAGGTAAGAAATATTCGTATAAGAAAAAAAGATATTTACATTCAAGTAGATTAAATTACCTCACGACTTGAACAGATTAATCCTTGTAAATTTTTAAAGCATGTTGTAATAACACTTGTAGGCGTAATTGAATACAGTCGACAGAGTAAGACTACAGCACGAAATTTTAAATCATTTACTCCTGGAGATGTATGTTGTGAGAACGATGAGGTGAATGATAATTTTGACATATCTGATGGATATGATAAATTTTCATGAATTGATATTAAATTTAAACAATTCTTTAATAAGCGTAAAGCATCTATTACTGTATTTACTTCATCGAAACCACCTTCAGATGAATATGGCGGTGGTGGTGGTTGTGTTGTTGCTGATGCAGTATATGATTCAGAGGCTGACTGAAGAATTTGCGCTTCACGATAGTCTGTATACTCTTTGACGCGTCTTTCAGCTAACTTATAGCATAATGTAGCAACAGGCAGAATAAATGGATTGTTATCTGTGAAGAAGAGGAAGAAAGCATTGTGTAATAAAAAAAGGTCTCGAGTTTGGTAAAAAAAAAAATTAACACATGAACAGTATATTATTCCTTTTGCTTTTGGCAGGCAAGTGTGTTGATTGTCATTGAAACTATTAGTCAGGATGAAGATTTCCTTTTTACCCCACATTCATTATATCCACCTTTCTTCAAATAATTTACGAAATCATAATAAATTATACGAAAATCATAAGATATATACACAGAAAAGAGACCTGGAGGGCGGTTTGTCTTAACTTCAAAAGCTTCTGCCCTATAAGTTACAAAAAAGGATTGGTGAGAACATTATTTGATCGTGTGAGGAAAATGCGTTCAGAAGAAAAGATTGAGGAAGAGCTATCCATTGTGGAGAAATTCCTATGCGACAACGGTTACCCACAAAAGTTCATCGACAAGTATGAGAGACGTCATGTTGAAAAAGTGAAAAGCAGCACAGTAGATAAAAAGCCTATCTTTCTGCAGCTTGCATTCAAAGGTGATGATACTGCTAGTAGAATAAGATGCAGACTGAACGCTGCCCTGAAAAGAACATATCCACCCGCCAAGCTTGTATGTTTTTATCAAACAACAAGCTATTTGAGACAATCAAAAGTGGACAAATACCCACCTCGTGTTACCTTCAACTGTGTCTACCAATTTACATGTACGTGCCAAAGCACATATATTGGAAGAACAGAGAGAAGGCTTAGTGTCCGCATATCTGAACACTAACAAAAAACCTGAGACTGAAAGGTCCGCAAGCATTAAACAGTGTGATTGCTCGTCATCTATTGGACACTGGTCATATTGTAGACAACCTGAAGTCGTTCAAAATAATCAACAAGCAAAAGAAACCTAGCTTGCTACGCTTTGGTGAAGCAGTTGCCATCAAACGACTTAAACCAAATCTATGTATGCAGAAAGAGACAGTGGTGAATCTTGCACTGCTCTGGTGAAAAAGAAAAAAAATATACAACTTTCATGAGTCACCTTTTTCATGTTTAGAAAACTCTACTCTCTCATCTAAACATGACTCACCCTACCTCGTTTCTTTCCTTTCCTTTTTTCTATTGGCCATTAGATAAGACGTTTTCTCTAGTTACGTAATCTACTTTTTTGTTATGCTCTTTCTAGCTAAACCTTGTTTCTCCACACACATATATATACGCAACCCTGTTTTTCTTGTCCCCAAGCCTAATTGTCTAATTATTCTATAAATATTCAGTGTTTGTAACTCCTAATCACTTAAATCATTCCGGACTAATGTTACTTTTAATTCCTACCAATTACTCCTTATGATCGTGGAAAAGTATGTTCATATCTTTAATGTAATTCATATTCTTTAACGTTCAGGTTGTAACCAGTTGAGAAGAATCCTCGAAATAATAAAAGATGAGCTCATATTATCCTGGTACAATTGTTGTTCTTGCTTTGTTCAAGTTTATTAATGGGAAGAATTGCATGAAATTTACGAAATGGTTAACATCAAGATTTATGAAAACGATGAATGATAGAAAGCTGTAGGTAAATTGACAGTATCAAAGTTTTTGTGTAGATTCACTTCCTTCAACATTCAAGATTGAATTTCCTGATACATATCAACAAATATGGATTCTTTATCTGTAGCTTTCCGCCAGTTACAAATATCAGTTATAAAAAGGTCTTCAAGGTTCAAGCGGATAGGTATGAAATGCAGTGGATCACAGAAGAATGTACTAATAGCTTAGAAAGCCATTATAGGAAGAAAGTCGCCATGAGAAAACTAGTTAGTCAGGAATCAAATGCGAAGTGAGAAACAGGAATTTATAGAATTTAACAGATGTTTATGCAGGTTTCTGAATTAGTTTACTGAAATTCTCAAACTACAGGTAAGAAGCAGAGACTTATTTACACAACGAAAGGCATAAATAATCTATTTCCTAGCTTTCAATACGGCTCTTTTTTTAACTTTGCTGTTACACTGGACAATTTACATCACAGCGAATGCAAGTACAGTGAGTGTGGCACATTCCTCAGTCAGTCATATAAACGATTCAGGTTTACAACCTCATAGAGTGACTTATTCCAGTGGCACCATAATAAGTGTAACTGAGAAACTGGAATATTTCCAGCAGCAGAGATATTTAAATACTATATAACCGTTGAATTTAATACATATCAGTTAAGAGTCTTTCAGATATTGCACGGCGCCAAAGGAGCAATTTAACAAAGACTATTCAGACATTTTGTTTACAATCCCCAATTTCCTCAACCATCACTAGAGGTGAACAACTCTTCAATTATATAAAGTAGTCATTACACGCTACTCTTGAAATATTTTACATTAAGTAGACACCTTACATGACTGTATCTGCAGACTAGTAAAGAATGTTGAACAGATCGATTTTGTGTAACTGGAGAGATATTTTACATTAGTTTAATTCTCGGTAAAGGGAGAAATAGTGTGTTGAATGTGAATTTCAGGGAAGTGAGACATGCACAAATGGAAACTTTGCCTTGCATTTTTACAAATTACAATTCAGACGACAACTAGACATTTGAAAAGAAAGTCCCACTACTCGAAATAAAGATGATCTAATGTACACTAAGCAGCAAAGAAAACAGCACAGGAATTAAATGTGTGATATCAGTTTCCAAATGGAATAATTTATCTTGAAATTCTTACCTTTCATATATGCTTCTCGACTATGAGGGTCTTGTGCACATTTATTCAGAAATTCTTTGTAGCCCAAAGTTGTTAGATCATAAAGTTTCACTACCCCTAGACCAGGTTCTTTCACTAACCAGTAGGTATGTCCCTCTTGTGTTGCATTCCGTTTCAAAAACATGATTAAATTACGTATTATTCGGTTAATTTGTTCAGTTTCAAATCCGACAATCGATGGAATTTCACAAGTTTTGTAAATTTCGTACTCTTGCATTACAATACCTTCATGGTGGTAACACATGGCAACTTCGGGAACTTCATTGATAATATTTTCTAACCAAACATCTACACCAGTGAGAACATTAATAGACTCATGCAGTGGGCTTAACTTCAAGCTGATACATGGGTGTTTTGGTGTACCAAAAATAGGCATATCAGAGCCTACAAGAAAGCTTAAATCTTTTAACTGCCACTCAGCAGTATGGAGATACATATCTGGGTTTGTGACCCATGATGACCGGAACGACTGACTCTTATTACTTTGGTTTGCACTAGTAGCCTTAGCTACACCGTCTGTAGATGCAGAATCTAATATATAGGAATATTCGTCCACATCCGAACTTAGCCCAAAGTTATTGAGAACTACATCTTGAGTAACTTCATTGGTAATATAATCATTTTCACCTGATGAAGGCAAACTCTTTGGCTGTGAAGTTCGCATCTTTCGTAGCCCAAGTTCGGGTAACTGGAAGACCCTAGTAACGAAAGTTAAATATAACTTAAAAATAAATTCATACACTTACGTATGATATAGGAATTTTGACTCAAGATCGTGAGAAATCAAAACGCTCCGCGAAAGCGAGTCTAAACATAAACGATAATCTTCTTTCTTTAAAAACTCGCGGAGCCATAACCACTCACGCTACAAAACCATAATAATTTCAGAAAATATTTTATTTACGTACGCATTCTCCACCGGTTAACAAGAACGAATCAATATCGAATTCATCTAGTAGCCATGTGCCACCAACCCTATGGATTATGGTCGACGAACGGGTATTATTTTTGAAGAATGATCGGATAAATGACTTAAACGTCTAGAAAAACCACAGATTAATAAGTATTAAAGCAAAATAAGGTACCTTGATCCCACTGATTACATCGATATTGTCCAGATCTTCTATGTAGTCATTGGCTACTTTGAAACTGTCAAGATGATTATTACCATGAACAAATAGAAGGAACCAACCCAGCAAAAGGGGATTTCAATGAGTCAGACATTGTTGCATGATAAATAAGTTTCTCAATATATGACTTTCTAGTAAGGTAATTCTTTGGCATTCTGTGTAGATTGAAACCCTCACTTAAGACCATGCTGCTGATATCACCTGGACTCCATAATACAATTGACTTGTCGAAGTTTTCACAAATGGCTTTTTGTATCCTCTCCATTTCATTTGTTTCATGAAGCGGTTTTTCTGAGTCACCTGGGTGACTTTGTTTATTACAGCTCATGGTAGTACCTATAGTAATAATATAAAACAAAACTGACTTGATGAACGATTTGGTAATATTTGAAGGCTCAATTAATTAGAACAGATTTCTCATGTATTAGGCTAAGAGCCACACTTTTCACGTGAGAGATGATGATACTACGCAGTTACCCAGACTGGAATACGTAAGGTGGGACTCGAGCCCATAAATGAATGCCTAAGCAGTATCTCCATTTGGAAACTAGAATTCTTCTAAGCTTATGCAGTAACCAAGCTACATACGATATTCAACCCATAAAACGATCCTATATTACTAAAACTGGAGGCGAGAATGTGACAAAGCCACTTTAAGTTGAAAATAAATGAAATTTTATTGGCCCTGTATCTCTTGCCTAACTTTTAGTATCCATTGAGTTACAGTAGCAAAAAGCTGGCAAAACAGTTGTTTTGAGTCTCTAACACAGAAAACTCCATAAAGATTGCATGATGTAGTGATCTCAACGTGAGACTGAGATGCAGCAGATGCATTTAACAAGATTTTTGGGACGACAATGTGGATATTTCGAAAACTAGTCTCCTTTGTTTACTGCATTAGCAGAATCGAATTTGAAAAGTTGAGCCACATGTTTGGTTGAAAATGATACATCCTACAAAGCGGGGATCCATGAGAAGTTGCAACTCAAAATGTCATTAGCATATAAAAACAAATAAAGTTTAGCAACGACATGCAACCACCTCCCATCTTTGTTTCAAACCAGCAGTGAAGGGAACTATGGCTGTCTTAGTTGCTACTGCTACTGGGGTAACAGAAAAATTTGATGAGGTAAATACACAATACGAAAAATGCCTTTTTGACTTTATGTATGTACACAATCTTGTTTTAGTGTGCTGATATACAGGAATATAGCGATAAGTATATGCAGTGTTATTTGCAGCATTGCCGTACAACGTACTTTGAGCTTAGACCAACTGGAAACGTTCTGAAAGCGGCAATATATAAAAAGGTCATATTATGCAGAGCGAAAGCCCCAGGGTTATATGCTAGTCTTTTACGTTATTACAATATAGGTTTAACTGTGAAAGAATAAGTACTGAGCATATTGGGGAGAGTGGTTTTGTCCCAGTATACCATAAATCACCTTTTTAATCAAAGCATAATATGAAGTTTTGTCTTCGAACACGATCATCGCTGAACGACTGCTGGTAACAACAACAGTGTAGTTTTGTGGGGGTTTGTAATAACTCCTGATTCTATCTAGTTAAACCGAAGCAGGTACAACCTTTCGCGGACAAGAAAGTTTTCCGCTGTTTTCTTTTTTAGCCTATATTTTATTTATCTCCCTACATGAAAAAGGTTTCTCACTTTTTATCAGCCTTTTTTCAAAAATGTAGCTTTTCGTTCGCACAATTTTCCGATTGGGCTAATCTACACGTGGTACACAACAGTTATGAACCAAATGTTGAGGTCTATAAGCCACATTCTTTAATCAAAGTTCGTCCAGAAAAGGAAAAGAAGACTAATGAGGATGTACACAAATAGTCTATAGACTGTAGTCTATATATATAGGTGATATATATCACCTAAAACAACATATTATCTTAAGCTTAAGGTCGACATTGACTTCCAAATATTGTACTAAAAACCACCCACACAGAAAATCTTGTTGTAGGCCTAATGGAGTGATTTTGAAGAAACGTATCAAATAATCGGAAATCCTGAAAAGCTCCGAAAACATTTGTTGAGTCTGAGAAGAATATGGATGACGGTAGCTAAATCCGACTGCATGTGGCAGTGAAATATACTTAAAAGGTATCTGCGGACGCTAAAGATAGTAGGATCACCTGAGAGAAGAGACTGACTACTGAAGCCATGAAGTGCTGTTGATAGTATAGTAACGCCTCAGTTCAACTGAGCGGTAGAACGCTTCATATACCCAATATCCAATATCCTGATTACGAGCTAGTATAAACCAGTGATTTCTTTGAGCTCGCTTCTTGATTGTGAGGTAGAGGTTCCAGATCTTCAGTGAGCTTCTGCGTAGTAAGTCCCGCCACTCGACTGTTTTAGCTCTGGTAGACTCCAAGAGCAGTAGTTCGGGGATTGGTCAAGATGTGGTTTGTAGTGTGCAGTATGTTAGGACTGTATTGCTGCCGTGAATGGAGTTTGACCTAACTCCCCTTGGTCATTCGGTTTAGTCATAAAAGCAGAATAGCAATGATAATAACAGGTTGTAGTGTAGATAATATAAGTTGAGATAAGTGGAATAATAAAGGTGACCTAAGGAAAAGATAGAGTGAGAGAAGGCAGAACAGGTCGTGGGGATTTAGTTTGTACGCTTATCCATTGACAGTGTGGTTTTAAGCTTTATGAGGATAAGCCATTGAGACACAAACCTTGCATTTCTGCATGATTGTCTAGCTTCCGCTTAAAAATCTCCACAGATGGCGTTGTAGTCACGGCCGCCGGTTAAGCGTTCCAGAGACGGTAAACACGAAGCGAAAAGAAATGTGATCGCACTCGATTCTTTGTTCTCTGGTGTGCTATCCTTAGCGGGTTACCTCGTGGAAGTCTATAGTCACTTAATGGCAGGATGCTTTTATTTGGGTGGGCCTGATCATTTAAGATCTGGTAGACGGTGATGAGGTCTCCCCTGTGCCTACGGTAACTAAGTGTGAAAAAACCTAATTTCTTTAGTCGTTCCTCATATGATTTGTTGCGGAGACCGATCACCCATTTTGTCGCTGGTCTCTGGACATTTTCTAGAATGTTAGCATCCCTTTTGAGTAGTGGAGGTGCAATGATATTATGCACCTCAAGGTGTGGCCTCACATATATCTTATATAACCTTGAGAACAGTTCGGGAGTAAGAGCTCCCAGCTGCCAATGCATAAAATGTAAAGCTGCCTAGGCTTTGACGACGTCCCTCGCGTAATTTCCACTGGTGTCTAGCTTTTCTGTCAGAACAAGACCTAGATCGCGCTCTGATGGAACACAACTCAAGTTCTGGCCACCAATGGTGTAATTTACACTCTCTGACCTGCCGGAATGAAGTTGCACTACTTTGCGGCTGGACTTATTCGTCACGTACTCTAGAAGTTACGTTTGGAATTTTTTTTGCCAATAATTTTTAATAAAATTGTATTATATGTTATCTAGATTGAGGGAAATTCCCACTTTTTGGCTGGTTATGTTGGTGTCCGCCTCATGTGATCTGACTGCGACACACTTTTAGCATATTGGTTGCAATGATTAGTGTTTCAGATGGAATGTATCAAAATGTCGGTGTAATGAGGGAGATAGGATAGTTAGAGGGTAATGCCATTTACACCACTCATTTACTCCATGTAGAAGCTGCATCTTTCGGCATAGTATCATTCAATGAAGACTTCATGTCTCAGGATATCAGTACAGCCTATTTTCGTGTGAAGAACAGTCTTTTTTGACAAAATAATTCTCTCAATACTTGGAAATCACCTGCAAATGTTATCAGAATCGTTGGTGGGAACCTAAGTTGTCATTTAGATGTGCTTTTCACTTTATCTGTGGTTGGACAGGAATTATGGTAAGTTGAAAGGTTATCTCTAAATGGATTTCATATATATTGGCACTGGTTGGTGCAGTGTGCTATGGGTTATGTTAATTAAATGTACAAAAATATCTCAACTATAATAATATTGTGCCATTGTGTACTAAGCTGACTGATAGGATAACAAACGAAGGTGGTTACTAGAACTGAATCTATTCAGCTTTATTATCATTAATATGAATTTATTCTCTTTTACAATTTCCACTGACTGTATACTTAATGCTACAATATTTTTGATCACCAATAGTGGAGATGAATTTCTCCTGAGATTTCCATTTAGACAAAGCAGTACAGATGCTCTATGACGATTGAATTTTCTAGTTTGCATTATATGACATTATTATCCTCATCAACACAACAGGTCTGTGTACTTTACAATAGTTGAAGTGTTTCACTATGTTGTTAGCACTGTGCATAGCTGTCTAGAGTTGAGGCATGTTCAGCTTATATTTGATGCCTATAGTCTCCTAAATGTGAAAATGTGATTTCTGTAGGATTCACAAAACCTTGTGGACTAGACATTACTGAGATTGTGGATTAACTTCTAAGTTATACACTTGCAATACTTCATTTCATGTAAAAGTGTTTAGTGTGAAGTTGATCTGCAAGTAAGCTTGATGAGAGAATGACGCCTCAATAGTATGAATGTTTCGGAGATTGCCTTGAAATTTGCATATAGTCCTCAAATGCAGGAAAACATATGATGTATATTTATGTATACGGCGTCAACATAAATATCAGCTGTAGACTACAAATACATTTATCTCCCTGAGATAATACTTAGTTTTAACAGAATGATTGTATTCATATTGTATGCTAATATGTAGAATTGTCTCTTGTTAACTTCATGTTATGCTAGTTCTAACATGTACTTTATTTTTTCCAGGTTTACGGAGGTTGTCGAATATGAAATCAGCGGAAACATCATTCGGTCAAACTAACTTTATTACCCTTCATCAGAATTTTCTTTTGTAAATTAATCAAATGTTTAATATACTCTTGATTACTTCTTCCTGTAGACTTCTTCAATTCCTCGCTATACTATGTGCTTTTGTAATAAGTGAATTAGGAATAATAAACGCTAAGCTTAGTTAGTGGGATGGAAATTCACTGTAGTATTATGAGAATGTTACTTTAGTCATTAGTAGGATTTCGTGTCTGTTTCTACACAATAGCACATTGTAAAAGCTAAGTGGGATTTAGCAAGTTGAATAATAATTCTGTACTGTTGGATACTCTAAAGTCGCCTTATCTAACCAGTTGAAAGTCTGTATACTGTTAAACGCCAAGTATGTAGTACAAGTAAATGTAGTAACTTAGGCTTGATATCTACTTCACTAATCCGTTAATATGCAGTGACATCATCAAATAGACTGTTCACTTGACCATCAGCTAAGAAACAATTTTTATTTATTTTAATATGCCGTTGAATCATAGGATGTTATCTAGTATCCATCATTTCTGTGATCAAAAACTGCGGTATTTGCATGTCTACTTTATAGATGTTAAATAACCTACGCCTGTATGCATCTAATTACCTCCAGTATTCCCTATTCATTTGGTGTGTGTAAACTAAACAAGTCTTTCATAAATTCTCCCATAAATGCCAAACTTTCTAGTGTTACAAGCGTTAATAAGACCTGCTTCCTTTGTTTCAAATCAAATGAGGTATATACGAACTAAGGGAAAGTTACTCTTACTTAATCTTTAACCCTCACTCAGAGCCTTTAACGATCCCAAACAGTTCTCCTATAAACACAGTAGACGTACTTTAGATGCAGCTGCAGTCTTGCTTCACAACATTTTCTCCAGTATAGACAATGGGGCTAAATTCGCTGCACCTTCCTAGAGTACACATCCGCTTTCGACTCACTACCTAGAGATATTCTGTTAGATAAGCTTGCTGAAACTCAAACTGAGTATTGGATTGTTAGATGGCTTCATTCTTATTTATCAGGGAGAAAGCAGTACACTGTAGGTCAGGGGGAAGTCGTCCATTACCAATTGTATTTTTGTTTGATGAACTTATTGTACGAATGCATACGAGAAGAACTTTTTCAAACACGCGGACGATCTAACTACTTCAATGTCTGTTAACTGCCAGCTACACTGTACTAAGATGAACAGCTCTCTATTAGGAGTGGGAAAATGCTCTTAAACTAAATCCTTCGAAATGTCAGACTGTTATTTTCAGTTTCCGATGTAAACGAAAGTTAGTTGAAGGTGTTAATTCCTATGACCGTTGCAAAATTGATAATAGTGATATGGAAATGAAGTCTGACTTTAAGTATCTCGGACTGATTCATCGCAGCGTGTTGGCCCTAAATGTATGCCACATGCAGGCATAATGTTTATGAGCTAGGTATGCAAATCATGGTAGACGCTTGTACGGTACATTCATTATTTATAAAACTAACTCGCACGTAAGAACTATGGTTTGATCAGTTATACAACGTTTAATACATTTAGACACAATTAACCTACGATGCTGACTTCTATGACGCATTACCTAAAACTACATTAATATAGTTTCCGCTGAAGGTTATCTCCTATAGTTACTACCTTAGTGGGCAACTTAGCGTTATCTTTGAATAACGAAAATTCCGAGAACTTTCTTGGTAAAAAGATCGTCCCTTACTCGAAAAAATTAAATATACCCTAGTCTCCACAAAAACGTTCAGAGGTATTCATCCTATCACCGCAAACGACTCACTATTTGCAGCCATTTAAAAAGTAAAAATAAATTTACCGATGGCAGCGTGCTTATGATTTCTAGATATCATAATGTACCATGAGGAAAACGCTATCTCCATGCGGTTATAAGTCAGATGTGCGAAATTAGTCAGAAACACAACAACCACGATTCTCAGTCACATAACATCTTACTTCGCTACCTAATCGTATAGTCGTATTAACGGATGTTTCGCCGAAGAAAAGAAGACTACTGGTTCAAGGATAATTTATTTAGTTTTTTTTAAGATCGTGAACATATGTGTCTATAGTCACGGAAGAATCACAACTTCGAGGAAACCACCAATCGTAGACTACAACCCGAAACGTTATTCTTCCTAATTAATGTCTTACCTTTAACTGGGATTGTTTGTACACTCACCAGATCACCGTATTTTATCCGCTTTGAAAACCGTTTTGCAACCCATCGAATGGATGTTAACACTGGCTCTATTACGGGTAGTCCTAGTTCATTTATTGCGATCTAGTACATCAAGCAATAATAAGCATAAGTAACACTTACCCTTAGGGATTCCAGGTTCTTTCA